GTGTTCTCGCATTTAGTGGTTTAAATTGGGCGTAATGTGCTTAGCTTACAGGCCACAACACTATGGAGAAATGACGTTAATACATGTACAAACCTATTCAGTAATATTGGTTATCATTTTACGCGTCACTGGCTTGGTACAAGCCGAGATTATTTGAGGGTCAGAATACCGACCAGAGGAGCATGCCAAGGAGCCAATGAAAAGCCACCGTGTGTCTGGTCTGGTTTGTGCTGAGGTGGTGGCCATCAGGAGTCGTCAGGGAAGCCAGCCCCTAATGCTCTGTCTCCATGAGCTTGTTTTATTATTGTCCCGAGGGTCGTTGCAAATTGAGAGCGTTGCAGTCGGGGCCTGCCACGTGTATCTGCAGATGCCTACAGCTTCAGTTGCCAGGGTTACTATAAATTTACATCTGCCTCAATTTATTATTTAAGTTTCAGTTCAACGAATACTGAGGAGTGACGTTGTCCTGCCCTCTTCTCTTTTTTTGGGGGGGGGTTGAATTTGGCATTTATGTTTTGTGTGCTGTTCATAGTGCGCATACCGTACATGTACATGTGTCCAATGGATTCCGAAATGTCCAAACAAACCGGATGCCAAAATTCAAAGGGAAGTGAGTGAAATGCATCCTTGACCAAAGTCAGTACACTACACCTGTAGCCGTACACATTTGTGATGGTAATGTAAATTTGTAACGTTGCATTATTGTAATCAGTTACATGTATCTCCCTCATCTGCACACATTGTTGCCAAAAAGTGCATACCTACATGTACATGTATATGTACGTGTACTTTTATTTCTCAGAGAAAATCGTTAACTGTAGACACGAGTGCAGACAACATGTAGTTTTTTAATTTAATGCATTTATTAGCAGGTCAAACAGGATTGTTTCAGTTGTGAACAGATCAGTGGACAAAAATGTTAAATAGCCAGCAACAATGAATATAGATTTTTATTCAAATAGATACATGTAATATGCTCAATTTGCATACAAATGAGTGCATTTGTGTACTTGTTCATACGGTGTATGTGCACAGTACATGTATCTCCATTGATTTGTTCCCCATCAATAAGCAATTCAATTTTAACACAATGAAAACAAAGTCCATTCCCACACCCGTAGTGATACCATGCTTTCCATCCAAACAAAAAAGAATGGATTATTTGGGTTTCCTTTTACATTGTCGCTGGCCGGGGCTGTCAATTTGACCCGTTTTGTTATTAGTTACCGGTAGACAGAGAGCAATGGAAATGAATTCGTCCTTTGTGGAAGAAAAAGAGGGGTACATGTAGTTTTCGTTTGCCAAATTTTTGCTGATCGTAACCGACAGAGGAAATTTTTTGGAGGGATCGGTTTTCAGTGATTCATTTTGTGTGAATCTCAAAGCAGAACAGTTCAGATGATTCAAGCTGTCTGTGCAGGTGTACAAAGGAGAATGGGATTCTGCCACATTTACATTCTTTACATTCATGACATACAGCACATGTAAGAGTGAAATTAAAACATAAACAAGCTGAGAATTACCGGTAGTGTGCCTTCAGAAGTTCAGACCTTGTCAGTTGCCTACATGTACTGGTACATATGGGTGCAACAAAAAGTCCTAAGGAGAACGTTAGCTTGGCCTGGCAAAATAGATACATATACATGTACATGCGTAAATAATTCCAATTCTGGTTGTCCAAATTTAAGAAGAAAAAAAATGAATATTCTTACCCTAGTCTCCAAAATCAAGTACCCTGTCATGCATGCGCATGAAAGTTATTCCGCTAGGAACTTGGCCAAAAATACCAATTTTTTTTTTAAATGACAAGATACATGTGCCACAACTACAGTCCGTTACAAAGTTGGACTTTGTACTTGCTGATCTTCTCCGGTCATCCTTCAGAAATTTTAATTGATGGGTTACCAGACTAAGTGTCTTCTCCCTGGAATGAATTTAGGACTAGATTGAGTAAACGGCAAAAGTTTTGTTTTCTCTGGCAACGAAGCCCGCGCAAATCTTTTCCAGGTAATTCAGTTTCACAAATCAAAACCAAATAGTAGAGTTCAAGCGGTACCTTTACATACTACATACAGTGGTTATGGGGAGGACGGATAGGGTCTGTTTGTCATTGAGTGTACAATGGCTTGTGTGCCAGAACAGAAATAACAGTATACGCATCGAGTATAAAATTACAAATTTGAGATTTTCCAATATCGACCAGAATTCTTTTAAGCTTTTGGACAATTTCAAATGTGTCGGTATGCACAAGCCCAATGTCATAAGACGAGTTTTGAAAGATTTTTGTATTTTGGCTTTGTAATCGTCCAGTGAATCCTGCATGCAGACATGTGTATTGAAATGCACTCACTGTGTCAGGGTCTCATCTAGTGACCTGTCTACCTGTCTTTTGGACAAGCAGTGTAATTAGGGATGGGTAGTTTGCAAAATGGAGAGTAAAACACAGCAGACCCAAAAATTTATATGTAAAGCAATTATAGTAAAATATATACATGCAGTTTTGCTTTTTGAGCAAAACACAAAAATACATCGTATACAAGAGAAGGGTTTAAATATGTTCAGAAAAATGTTAAGGTGATATTATGTGGATTTAGGGAGAAGGGGAGGGGCTAATCTTGAATGCATAAGAGAGCAGGGAGGAGCTTATGCATACATGTGCATGAACAGTACATGTATGTCCATTAGTCATGCATACACGTAAATGAAGTAGAGATTAGGGGAGGGGCTTGTTCAATTAGCCACGCCCTCAAGCTGCACTTTGATGTATGAGAAGAGGGAAGGTCTTATTTTGGCAATACCCCACACTTTGTGAATGGACCTGTCTATGTGTAGCATAGTGTCAGTGTCTGTTACAATATTGATTACTGGAGAACAAATACATGTACATGTACACATACGTGTACATGTACAGGTAGCTGGTTCAAGTAAATGCACATGTGCATGTACATGTAGCTCCAACAGTTCTGGCCTCTAGTCTTTATGTGTCATTTATCATGTGACTTACAAGAACAGCCTGCCTTTGAATTCATTTCAAAACTCATGCATGGCTATCATGCTCTTATTGTACATGCGCATGTAATGGCGTCATTAATCCTGCGTCCAAAAGGGGGCTGTTTTTAATCATTAAGTATAGTTGTAATTTCCCTTGAATAATGTGATCTTTGGTGAGACGCTCTGAATTATATATGATGGGAAGAATTGGCATGCGATTAAGCCTGGTTGGTTCTCCATGCATGGTCTGTGCAGATCAGCTCAGTCCTGATGTACATGTATATTCAGTTCCTTGGTGATTTCTACTGTAAAGTGTATGGAATAGCAAATGCATCTTGCAATTATGAAGTATTATTGAAATTTATTAATGAATACGCTGTTGTGTACATGTACATGTACGCACCTGGTAGGTTAATTTAGCAACCAGAAATAGAAGCCGTTACCTCAGTTGCACCACATGGCCCTGCAAGGTGTCCTGATTTGCCAAAATCATGTGTGTGTGGAGAGTTCAGGAGTGCATTGTGTGCGCTGTGCTACTTCAGTAATGGCATTTCAAGGGATCAGTCTGCTTCATATGTGCTGTGGAGGAATACATAGAGGAAGGACATAGAAGGAGTTGCAACTCGGGCACTTCAAAGTGTTCAATGATGGTCACTGCCGAGTCAACAAATAATAGAGAACAATCCAAAAATGCCTGATTACTGCCTGCATCTTAGCTGGACAAGCGGGGCCAGTAATATCCTAGCAATACTTGTACTTTTTTGGTTGCAATTAAATACAAAGTATTGATGTGACCAGGGAATAGAGAGAGAAAAATGACTGATATTAGACGTACTTTTGCCATCATAAATAAACTTTTAAAATTTTGATACACTCTTCCATTATCCATGCATAGAGCTTAGTTCATTAGGAACAAAATGTGCTATTTTATCACAGGGAGTGATCGTGAAATCTCATAAAATACGCTTTTGTACAAATCAATGATTCAAACAAAACACAAAATCTTTTCTACAACCTGGCTATTTATTCCCAAAATAACTCCAGAAGAAAGATTTCATTAAGAGCAATGACTGCACATAGAAATGTAGATTTAGGGTGCACAGCGTAATACAAGCAACTGCCCAAGCATTAAATTTAATGTTGTCATGAGATCATACCAAGCACCAACAAAGGCGTGAATATTCAATTTCCTGCACCTCAGTACACAAAGTTTTAAGGATGCAGACAAGTTGCGGCAGCAATCGTAGGGTACAAAGGGGTTTCGTGGTTGTGAAACAGATGGTGTGTAGCAAGCGTTCGCTGCGCTCTGGCTATGGACATACCAGGCATTCCAGAAAGTGGTAATTGGCCAGATGTTACAGCCCGGGCGGTTCAAACTCCTTGATGAATATTGCTGTTGTGTACGGTAGTTGAGCCTGTCTCCTGAGAACCATGGAGATGTTCATTAATTTTTTGACATGCTTCAAGTTGTGGAACTCTTCTGCCTTTTACATCTTTAAAAACAGTCCAACATTCTGCCTATAAGCCAATGGCTTGTTAAAGAGCAAGGACCATGGGGGTCTGTGCAAAAGTACCCCCTCAGGAGGGAAATTAGAGAGAGGCTTGGCTTATGTACATGTACGTCTGTGTATCGATGCCTTTGGCATTTTTAAAGTGGCATCCATACATACCGGTAGATATCTTTCAGACTTAGGCATGTACATGTACTCATATGAACGTTACTGGTGCTTGTTCCATACATGTAGCATATGCATGCTAACCAGAGCATGGGGTCTAGTACTAGAGTGCAGTGTTCCTGTCTGAGAGGATGCCATTGCTGGGTTAAAAAGTGACCTCCACTGCTTAAGTACAGAGTGCATATGGTTATAATGAAATCACACACATGCACATTCCTAGACAAAAGAAGACATCATTAAGTCAAAGTACAAGAAGTTCAGATTTTGAAGGCATTCATGTCTCTGGTTTTGACAATATTAACAATGTTTGATTTCTTGTTCTCTGTGTTCCAGTTCTGTTAAAACACTGGGTCTTGGCCTTTACAAGCAGTGGGACCTGGACTTGAGTTTACAACCACCAATGCTAGATTTTGGGGAACAGTAAGTATAAAGGATATTGACTTCTTGAAACCTAAATCCCCTGTGGTGTTTACTGTGCCTGCCTCAGGAGACATAATGGCAAGTTACAAAGGATTATTGAACTTGGTGCCCTCAGTCTGCATTTGGGCAAGGCACGTGCACCATGATGGCATGAATTCAGTTTCAAGTAGGAAGTACATGAGTCACATGTACCAGTTCAGACATTCTGCTCTAATGCAGAGTCAAGTTGTTGAACATTTTAGATTTGTCCAAAACTGGTACTTTGTTCAGGAAAAGATAAAAGTAGTTGGTACATGTATCTCTACAGGTAGCTTTTCAAGTAAGCTTACCAGAAAACTCATGTACACTCTGTGTAATAAAAAAAAACAGGGCTCGTTGTCAGAGTTAGTGTCCACTTGTACATGTAGGTACACAAACATGGTCTTGTGCAGGAACGTGACTGAAATGCATAATGCATATGAACCCATTCATTCATAAACTTATTCAAGTCCAAAGAATAGGTCTGGCCTTCACAAATCAACATGTTGATTGTCTGGCTCTACCCTCTTTGTTCAGTCTTGCTGCAGCAAGCAGTGAAGCAACTTCGAATCACGAGGTGGGAAAAGTGCCATTGTAGCTGATTTTCCTTGTACTGCACAGTAGGGAACTATCATGACCCCCTCCAATTCATACTGTACTTGGAACTTTGATCTTGAATGTTTTGGTATTTACATGTAATACCATGAATAGTCATTTAATGCTTGGATTTTTTCTGTTAAGGTGTACTTTGTCAATGAAATCCCAAATGAATTTTATATTCTCCCACTTTGAATTGCTGTTGATTTTGTCTCATTTTCAGTGCGATTGGTATGCCTGAATTAGCGACGGTGCAAGTTTTCAATTCACACCCAGAAAACATGTTGCGGATGCTGTCTATTTCAGGGAGCACGCCGCATTTTCACTGTTCATTCTTTCAGGACAAGGTAAACAGAAAAAATTATCCCCTTCCCCTGCCCTCAGCCCCACCCTTTACCCCTCCCCCACCCCGTCTGTCCCGGGTAAAGAAGGTCTGCTTGTGTGCTGCTAAGGGAAAGATCAATGTGCAAGTGACATGAGCTGTAAGACACTTGGAATTTCACAACGTACACTGAGAATTTCAAGGGGAAGAAAGGCAGGTCTGAGATTTGTCAGGATTTGGTCTGATTTCAGGATTTTTGTCATCAGGAATTTCCTGATCTCAGGTTTTTTTCATCAGGATATGAGGTTTTTTAAAACAATGACACGAACATTGTTTGTCGCCGGACAAACACTGAGCTGTTTTAGGGAACTCTCTGTCGCAGTTGGAATGGCTGCAAATCAAACAGCTGTCGTTAAGTCCACAGTTGAAAATGTAACACAGACAGTACATGCATGATCCTATCGTACATGCGCTTCAGAAGATACAGAGCTTGTTTTGGGCTAGAATTAAATTTGGGTCTGTGGGATCGCTATCCTCCTTGCTACAGCAGTTACACTACACACTAATTCCTTTCACTGCGACGAATCTGCCAGAGCACAATGAACGCTCACACTTTACCAGGCACGTGGTTGGTATTTTGCCAGAGGCCTCAAAAGAAAGTGGCTCCATTATACGCTATACATGTACAAAGGATATAGCTCTTATCACTATGGTACTTACCCCTACTATTCATTTTGCCGGCATTACCAGCGGAGGGCAAATTTTTTCATTAGTGGTGTGATCAGTGCGGTGAGCCCAACACCTTAGACCATGGAAGCAGATATTTACGCTAGTTTTTGATGGGCAATTTCAAGCTGTAGCAGTAGTAGGTTCATATCTCTTATCAATTTTAAATCAAAAAGCACTTTGGTTTGGACCAGTTTTAACTGGAAGTAAGGGTCAAGCGATTTTACGTACACAAGAAGAAATAAAGACAGAAGATTACTCTATCACTAAATGCAAAAAGCAAGCTATGGGAAGTCACGGTTGATTTTATATGGATTTTTGAAGATTTAACATGAATAACGATTTCAGTGTTTCTAATTTGACACCTGATGATGTCATCATGACGTAATTCCTCTAGTGCATTTTGTATGTCTAAGGCTTTAAATTGAATTCAGATGATAGTCTATGTGCCAGGTTTGAAGGGCATCAGTGCAAAGGAAGGGGCAAAAGTCGCGTGTACATGTAAAATGACCCGTGTTTTATCTATGGGGATAAATTGAAAAAAGCAGGGAAAAAAGGAAAAAATTTTTAAGAAAAACAGTAGCTGCTTCTTCTAGTGCCCAATACAGCTAAAAGTTTGGGAAATGTGGAGTTTACCATTATGGTGTTTGTACACAAGTAATGGGTTATTTAAGGGGTGCCTTTAGGTAAACACAAATGATTACCGTAGACTGCATGCCACTTTGGGGCTGCAAAACCTCTGGTGATTATTTCGTGGATATTCCATTTTCTTAATCTCACCCTTGGAAATGTTACATAACTTGTTACAGTTTTCAAAAAAACAACTTTCCACTACCCCCCATGAGTAATGCCCCCCAAAGTCAATCAGTATCGAGCCACCTGCTTCCAAAGCCAAACGTTTCTAACTTGAATAAGTCATGCTCCATGGAGACATTTACCCGTATACTGCAGACTTTCAGACTGAACATTCAGGAAGCATGAACAACATGGCATTGTATGTACCCGACTGTGGCCTGCATTCATTCAGTTCCCACAGGTGTCTGGCTTTGCCTGACAGTTTCCTCCTCCCCTCTTTCACAGGTTGTGCCACCAGGAGGCAATACCACATTTGAAATTGTTTTCCTGCCCCGGGTAGCAGGCAATGCCGAAAACACAATATTTATTCACACCAGCGCTGGGACCTGTCCATATCAGGTTAGTGGAGATGCTGCCTCAGCTCCTCAAGTGTGTGAAGCAATGGTTTTTTACGCATCAGAGCTGGGACACATTTCGTTCGTGCAGCAGTGCCCGCAGTATAGTTTTATTTTCTGCACCTAGATATACAGGTGTTTTGCTTTCAGTGATATTAATTTGTTTTTGCCTTAGAGATGTTACTTCTATGCTAAAAACAATCCTAGTATGAAATAACAATCCCATCACAAGCCAAATTACTATCATTGCTTAACCATGGTATCTGCTGCTTTTTTGATTAGAGCTAGCCATCCCTATCTCAGCCAAGACGACTTATGATTTGTGTAACTCCTTGGCCACACCGAGCATACAGTGTAAATATACACACAGGTGTTAGGGCGAAAAAACAGCAACCACAAAATGATTAGATTTTGTTACTTTTGTTGAGAACTTGAATCCTCAGCAATGAAAGTCATGAAGCATCTAATAGGTTTTGCAGTGAAGATCAATTTCTGTCTACAGAATGCTGTTGAAAAGGCATGGACAGCAATATCCTTGGACAGATTTTAAAAAGTAATTAAAGAACGGGAAATTTCTAACAGTGATGTGGAAATGCTTGAACTATTTTCAAGTTTCTGTGTAAAGGAACATTAATTACTGTAGCAGAAACAAGCAGTTTCAAAAATATTTGACACTTTTGATTGAATTTTGCTTCACCTTCACTGAGCCTGGCTATTTGTGCATAGCAAAAATGTCGACATAAAGCTGTTGTTATTAGTGTCACTGCACCAGAGGTTTCTGGGAAGGACATCCAGTCGATTTTGCACATCTCATTTCCTCTCCATGTCCATTACAGTCATTCCTCAGAGGATTTGTACTTGGTGCAGAAAACAGCAAAGTGAAACAAAAGAACAAAATGAAATGCTGTGTCTTGGCATTTGCGAGCCGTAATAAATTCTGTGATGTTTTTTGACGTACTCACACAGATCTTTCGTGCTCGTTGTGTCTGACAAAATAAACTATGCAGACGGTCTAGAACCATTCTTTCACCAAACCAGTGCATATTTTGTGCTTGTTTTTGGCGTCGCTCATGCAAATGAGTTTTGACTATGGAAAAAACATACTCCAGTACAAAGATGTTTACTGATAAGAACTGCAACTCTTTTTACAGCAAGTATGCAGACACGGAAGTCAATTTAATAAGTCCTTTCTAAATGATGGAGAAAGAGATTTGAGAAATGATCTTGAGAGACTGCTTTCATTGAAGTGGTATTCACTGAATGTATCATGTACATGTACCAGTATATTAATGTGTATTCTCAACCCCTTGTCTCTGTTTGCAGTTACTCAATAAGCAAGTGACTTTAACACTGAGTAAAAGTATCAACAAGGCTAGAATCCATAACAAAAGTAGGGCAGATACTCAAAGAAAGAAAAGCGGTTTGGTGTATGATCTTGTGCACGGCATAAAAAGGAGCTGAGGGAGTTGGTGAAAATGTACATGTATTAAAGTGCCAAGAATTTGTAGGCAATGGGTGATTATCCGGTGCTTAAGTGACTTTGTCTCAAAGGAGGATGCGCCACGATTTGCAGGCTCCCATTGGACAATGTAAGCAGAGGTGACGTCACACTTACATGTACGAACTGGATAAACGTGGACATGTCCATGTAATTGTGGTTGCCATTACTTGTACACGTACGGTATTGACTTCCACTGTCACAGTAAACATTTCTTCGGACTGGGTACAAAGCTTGGAAAGAGGTAAACCCTTCCAATACGTGATTGGAATATTCACTGTAATTCGATCTAATCATTTGGAAAATTGTTCCCTTTTTTTTTTCCATTGGGATTTGATTGGATCTTTGTCGTGCCGAGAAACCAAACCAAAAGGAGCAATGACTAGGGAAAAAAGAAGAAGAAAGTACATGTACCTGCCAAACAAGGCAAGACCTTAAAGAAATCCAGACTGGTGTGCACGCCATGTGATGGCCTGAGGGTAATTACGCAGACAGTTTACACCGCCAATCTCGAGGTGCATTGTGCAATCCCTTTTCCCCTCGCTATCCCCACTTCACTTTGCGACACGCCAACGAGAGTCGACAGCTCACGGATAGGGCTTAGCCCTGTTTGGGTGTCGCCTGCCGGAAGCTTATCTCTTCCATTGTCTCTGCAAATTGAAGAGCTGGCGAGGGAAGTGCAAACTAAGGGATGGGGAAGGGGGCAGGTTCTCATCTCCTCAAGCCTTGAAGGAAATTCAGGGCTTAGAGGGTTAACGGTGACGGGTGGTCCTGGCCATCCATTGGGACAAGCAGCCGGCATTACTGAGAACAACCATGACTGAAGCTGTGCAGTTCCTGGCACTGTTTAATGACAATGCAATCACCAATGTCTCCCACCACTGTGCTATCTCTGTGTAGATGTGAATGCAAAATGTATTTCCCACAGTCAATTTCCCACTGTTTTCCTTGAATAACTACACCATGGGAAATGCGTAGCTCTAAATTTACACAGCAGTAAACTTGCACATCCTGTGCTCTTTGGGTCAGATCTACATGTACGGTACTTGTACTTTGGTTACACTAACTGTATTTTTTAATAGGGTTCTACACAGTCCGCAAACTTCAAAATTCATTTGTACTGGTAGATTTAAGTTTCATATTTTTTAAGGACTTATTTTAAGTAATTGGCTTTTCTGTACTCTAACAAGTCAATCAAAAGCGTGGAAGACCAGTTGGACTGAACATTTAGATGCCCCTGTAGTTTGGTCTAGATTTTTGAACTGAAGACAAGTCTACACCTGTCAGTTCAGTGAGATGCTTCCATTATCAGCATTTTGAAATTGTTGAATATCTCAGATGCCTGCACAAAGCTGGTTCTACATAACTCCTTGTGTTTGTTAGTGACAGTGGATTATATATTTCTTCCATCTCTGCCAGGTTTTTGGCGTTGGTGTCCCCAATCCTTACAGATTAAGGCCCTTCGTGGGGGCCAAGGTCCCCATCAACACCAGCTACTCCCCGCTCATCACCATGCACAACCCCTACAGTTCGGGGCTCATGGTAAGTAAGGCAGACAAAGCAAACTACTCAGGTGTGCAACTTGTCCTCTGATCAGCCGATTTCCTCGTGTTTCACTTTATATTCGTGCCATTGAAAAAACATGTCGAAAAAAACACTGTACAAAGTCTTGTAAAGATTACCATTTCCTCATTTTTTTGTCAAAGTCCAAGTTGCATGCCTGAACTACCGGTACTGCTTCAGATGAGCACTGTGGAAAGTTGCTGGGGCAATCCCCTCACCAGCCCAGCTTAAACTTGAGAAGTTATTTGTTGCAGTCGGGAGTATTTTGATGTACACTTGAAAATGTTTTATGTTGTTGGCACAAAAACCTCAAACGTTTGGAAAGGAAGAGTAGAGAGTTGTAGCTTTACAACAAAATCTGCTCTACTTGACATGTATTGCCTGTATTGAAGACTACTTCATGCTTGCTTGAAGAATGACATCCACGTTCTCACTTATCTGAACGTCCATGCACCCAAGTGCAGTGACACTGTGTAAGTGTGATGGCACGCCCATCAGGCCTCGACATTAATTTTTAACTGCCTGTCCATCGGGCAAGTACCACTGAAAATTCACTTGCCCAAAGTAACATTTTTATACTTGTCCAAACCCTGGTTTAGTTGCTCATTGCTGCGTGGGGATAGTAAGTTCCTTCCTCCAACCAATCACCTTTGATGACATTGCCACGCCACAATACTACATGAATATACTTCACCCCAACTTGTGCAGGACTCTGATGCATCATTCATACAAGTTCGGGCACCGGTTATTTCTTAACCACTCAACAATTTGCCTGGTGTTATATACATGTATGCAAAAAGTACACACACAAGTACTGGGCAAAATTCACTCATGTTGACGTCACCATCACAGCCTCATGTAAAATCAACCTCGTTCCCAAGGATACAATGCTGCCACGCCATGTCTTGTGTGATTTAACCCCCGGTACTTTATGATTTAAATATCCCACTATTTGGGATATTTAAATTAGGACAGTTGTCAAGGCGTTACTCGCAAAGCAGACTTACGTGTGCATGAACGTGCAGGCGAATACGCGGGCGCGAGCATGTAGCATTTGAAATACACACTTTATGTTCATCCTGAATAGACAGTCAGCATCATTTTTGACTGCTCCATGACCAGGGGCTAGTGAAGGAACACGCACCCAGCCCATGGAGACGAGGTTGATGTAAAACAGTCGTCGAGCTTGCGGACATTAAAGCTCCACTGCACCGCGCATGCATTAATAACCAATGAGGTTTGGTACCCAGACACAAGGGTATCTTACAGTTTATTTGTGTACGCGTTTTCCCTTGTGTGCTAAATGTACAGCGTGCTTAATAAATGCGATTTTGTACATGCACATAATGATGCCAAAAATCACTGTAGACTGCACAGCTGTTTACTTTTTACCGTTGTTTATAAGCTTTCGTGAAGAGGAAAATAACCAATCAAAGGTCAATTTGCTGACTGCTATTCTTGACCCCGAAAAACTGACACTTTTTTTAAGTAAAAAGTACCTGTCCATAGGGCAATTTGTCCTTCATTTTTACTTGCCCGAAAGAAGAAATTACTTGTCACGGGCAATCAGACAACCGTTAATGTCGAGGCCTGACGCTCATGGTGTTTGAGTAAGGGAACGTTTCATAATTACAGAAGGTGGTATTTACTGTGGTACCGCTGTATTTTTGCGGTACCAGCATTAAGCCCTTTCAGGTAACTAGTGCAGTGCCGCCAAAAAAAAAACAGCGGTACCGCAGTAAATACCGCTTTCAACAATTATGAAACGCTCCCTAAGGAAATTTGGGGGATTCAGAAGAAGACGGTATAAATCACAGGAATAAACCCAGCCTTCTCTCTGTTGGCATCGAACACACACTGCTGTTATACATATTGCGTAATGTAGAATATGTTTATTCGTGTACATTTTACATTTTACGTGTACAGTGTACATAGGACACTAATCAATGCACAGTGAGTTAGATTACTTTAACACTGATCCTCCACCACTATGCTACTTTTTAAAATTAAATTTCAAAGAGAGTATTTCTCTTGGTTATTTCTGTTACTTACACCCTCGTGTGTTTGTACGTTGACGTCCCTGACATTGATGTCCTCTTTTTTACATTTTAACAGGTGACAGAAATGTACTCCAGCGGTGGTGAGTTACACCTAGAGTTACCCACAGGGTCACAAGATGCCCCACAGAACCTATGGGTGAGTGGCGGAAAGCTGTTTTTTTTGAGCTTCTGGAGTACATGTAGTCATTACTCTTTAATATCTTCAGTTGAAAGCCTTTCTTGGAACAGCAGCTTCAATCCTCCAAAATCTTCCAAAACTGCCTGGAGGATTTTGAAGGATTGAGGATGGTTAGGGTTATATAATAAAATGGGACCAATTCAGCCTACAGCTGGGAGATCATCTCTGCTGGGGAACATTTCAATCAGTCATATTGGCTTGCCATGCTCAAACATTGATCGGCATTCCGAAAACTTAAAAGTATAATGTTTTGCAGAGGTCATTTTACTGACACTTGTTTTTCTTGGTGTCTTTTGAGTCCCCCCATTAAGTATTTAAATCAAATAAACACTCTCAATATGAGTAAACAGGTTCACAGCTTCAAGGAAATAAATCAACTTGACCATTCTTTTTTAACTTTTAAAAATTTGATATATTGTCTGTCATGCCCTCAAGACATCAAAATGTTGACACTTTCTAATTTGAGGTGCAGGATGCATTAGTACATTGCGTCTCTTTGATCTGAATGCTTGTAGCGAATAAAGGCAGACTTTTTTCCCCTGGAAAACAAGTCCCTTGATGCAATCATTTGATGCCAGGGATTTATTTTTCTGCACCTGGAAACAAGTGTAATGGAGTCATTTATTATTGATTGTGAAAAGGAGAGAAATAGAAGGCCACAAATACAGGAATACGTCTGATTTGAATGCATCAGATGTCCTGATTAATAGATGAAAAGTGATATCGTGCTCTCATCATCACTGCACACCGTAAGTCTCTCCTAATTGACTGGCCGATTGCACTGACACGTGATGTGACAATGCCAGGTGGCTTATCAGTCAGATGTGAGAGGCATTCGGTGCAGTCACACAAACCTAATTGGGTGCTCTTGCAGCCTCAGAATTCTTCTGTACAGATGTATCTGTGCCGCTGAAACTGGTACTCTTCACATTTTGGAGGTTCTTGGGCAAAGAGGGACCTCGGGGAGCTCATGTGGCTGTTAAAGTATGGGCATGTTGGTTTGTTGTGTTCATACATGTAGTTGGTAAGAGCCTTGGTCTAGAACTGTATAGTCTCATTCGTTCTCGGCTTTGGGCCAAGTCCAGTTGGGAATTGTGTTATACACACGTACATGTAGGTGCATCAAGTGGTCACATGAGCTGCCAGTGCTTTCCAGAGCCATTTTAAGAGCAGAAAATGAGCCGTTGATTCACATTAATGCATCAAAATGCGTTACACTTTGTGCCAGGATCAGACCTGTGAAATGTGCATGTACATGTACACACATCATGCAGAGAGCCCATGCGTGGCATTACACAGGCTGGCATCAGTAGAAACTTTTTTGCAGATCTTCCAGGATGGCAGAGTCCTTTAATAAATGCTTATGAGTTGGGGTCCCTGATGAGCAGTGATGGATCCTGAGGATTCTGCTGTGGGATGATAGTCCAATCTGGACTAAATGATGACATGTTCAACATTTGGCACAAGTCATCCAAGTGCCTAAGCTTATTTATGAGACTCAGCCGTTACTCGGTCCAGTCCTAAATTCAAATTGATAAGTTTTTGGGTTTACTTTGTTTTAAACCTTGGTTGGTTTGGGTTTTTTTTCAATGTCTTCCATAAAATACCAGTACATTTAACCTGTCCAGTTTGCAATCCTCAAAAGCTCAACGTAATGTTTTCCCAGGGTTAGGACTCTTGGCATCATCACTGTACATGTACATGCGCAGATAAAGGCCAGTTAATAGGTTCTTTCCACAGGACCGTAAGGATTTTTAAAAATACAGTTATTTTTGCGAGGAAATGTCTGAATTTTACTTGTATGCATTCATTGAAATAAGAAAGGTGACCCCATCTAATGGAATGAGTAACAAGTCGATAAAACTACTGAGTTCAAATGAGTTAAGATGGAAATTGCATTTAGATGCCATTCCTCTGTTTCCAAAGGTAACCCTCCTACGCAAAGATGTCCTATCAGTCCAAATCAGTCAAATGACCCCCAGTGGAAGGAATTCTTGACTGTGACCGTTATAGGGAGGATTGAAGTTTAGCACAGAGTCATACATGTACCCTTAGATGAAGTACAAGCCAACGTTTGAGCCTTGTACCAATTCAGGACAGCATGTGCACCGTACGGCATGTGACATGATGGACTACCCAGTCCTGTGCAAAAGACTTCTTTGTGCAGAGCAACTGTGTTTAATTTGTCGGGTGCATGTTAAAACCATTTAATGAATCATGCGCACAAAAAGTTGGCGACTAGTTTTGTGACTTTTGACCCATACACCAACAGTACTCAAGGCCCTGACACTTTGAGGGATGGTTTACTGCTAATACACATGTACGTGTACATGTAGGCTTGCACGGCTCACATGACGGAGTTTCATTTGTTCACTCCTATCAAATTTGGTATGTGAAAATTATATTGAACTTGGAGGACTCAGAACTGTTGGAGCTAATCTGGAATTGATGGTTTTTCATTTACCCTAACCCTAACCTTGAATTTTCCAGCTTGTTGGTGATTCATGACTGTTAAGGTCAACAAACTGTAACTTCTATGTGCTTTTTACTGGGAACCTTCCTGAAAACGTCTGACTCTCTACCATTCAGGAAATCAGACAGCAATACAAAGAGTTTCTAACATTCAAGGGACATCAAGCCCCTTGTAAAGTTATATAAAATACTGGTGGTGTCTATGGCCCAGGATTTTACCTCGTTGATGGGAACAATTTCTCTTGCTGTGAAAGTGGAGACTGAGTTGTGGGCACAATAATGTGTGCCCATAATGTTTTTGGTCCCCACAGCATCTGTGTTTCAACACATGTCCCTACAGCTGTGGAACAAGTATTTGTGTTTCACCGGGGTATCTCGAATCCTGCAGAATCTTGCCAAAATCGTCAGGTACATGTAAATTTCGTAGGATCTGGGAGGGTTAAGGTCAGTGGAACTCCCCCCACATCGTCAATTCCAGTTTTCCTAGGTGGGATGTTCCCATAAACAATTTCAATTCTGTTGACCTGTTTCATTGCCGATATCAGGAGATTCCACCCTACACAACGCGATCTGTCATGAGGGCAAGCTTTACTGGTCGGGTGGAGAGTAACCACACGGCGTTTATCCGAATCAAGACCAACCACTCCAAGCGTCTTGACGATGAGGAAAATGAATTACTCATGTTGCCGGTTGAGGTGGAAGTGTCGTCAGGTGAGTGTGGAAATCTTTGCCCTTAAACAGTCTAAATGGTGAGACTTGCATTCTATAGGAATTCTCTGATGTGTTGTCAGGCGATCTGGCCCTTAACTTCTGAAGATCTCTCGAAGGGAGCAGACTTCATGGAGGAATTGTAGATGTGCTTAAACATAAAAAGATCAGGATGGACACGTTGTAGATGTGCACCGGTTGGTGCACATGGAGTAGTAGAGACTAGTTTTTGACTGAATGTGTACAGTTCCGTTGCCTCATGTTTGAGAGGAACTCACCTGAGTGCCAAATTGCTGCATCAGTAAGACTTGTGGTTTGTTGTTTTTATTGCCATGGGCGTAGTTATGGTGTACGTTTTATCAAATACCAAATTTATCCCTGAATGCCAGGGTAGACATACATTGTACATTGTCTACATTGACTGTGCCGCCCCTACCCCTTGTTGTCATTACATGGGTGCTGCAATTTTTAATCAATCTTTTTGTGGTCAACTTGCATTGATCCTCCTCCCTGGGTGTCTGCCATCTCCAAAGAGCTGCAGTCAGCAGGATTAGCTACATGTATGTGGACCTGTCAGCTGGGAGAAGACCTAGCTGAAAATAAGTGTTGGGGGGTGCACCATATTGTGGATGCCTCCTGTTAGTTTAGCTCCTAGGGAGGCGTTAGCGATAGTTTTGCCATGAAGTGGGATTAAAATTGCCACGTATTTTACAGACAGGTAGATAAGGTTTCCAGGCAAAACTAAACTCTTCCTTCTTTTCCTGTTGCAGCTCCTGGAATATATTCCTCTTTAGAGATGTTAGACTTTGGAACGTTGAGATCGTTAGATTCACCCAAGACACTCCCTTTATATCTAATTAACACAAGCCCGAAAAGTGTTCAGATATTGGTAAGTACCTGTGTTACATAGTAATAAAAATCGCAAGTGAGAACTGCTCTTCAAAACAAGTGTCTTTTTATTATTCTGAGTTCTTAATAGTTACCGGTAGCTAATTTTTGTGGCATTTCCATTTTGAACATGATGAACTGGTCTGGGATATTGCCATAGTGTAAATGCTTGTGTCTGTTTTTATTGAGACCAATATACCATATGATACAAAAACCTAAAATTGTCGTGTAATCAGTCTTGAATATGGTATGCTGAGGCTTTTGGACAGCATTCTTAGTGCGCATTGGCTGATGTTTACACTTGCAGAGCATCACGTCGATGCGCGTCAACAACGCGCTGACGATAGACTTCAAGCCGTTGGTCCTGAAACCCTCGGACACCCACACCAAGGTGGCTGAGGTCACGTTCCACCCCCTCAAGGCCAACACCTCCCGCCTGTGGTCGGGCAAACTCATCGTCAAAACCAAGGATAAAAACATCAAGTTACAGATCCCCTACCAGGCACATGTTTTACAAGGGTGAGTCCGAGCAGCCAGTGAAACTTTGTCTCACGCACCCTTGGACAGCCAACACGGCGTACTCCTCCCTGAGGTCAGGCATTACCACGCAATAGATTAAAATTTTTAATGAACTAAATACCCTTCAATCTATTGTGTGGTAATGCCTGACCTCAGGTCTGCCTTACAATGTACTGAGTATGCAGTCCTTACAGCACTGCATGAGTGAACCGCAGAGGTGAATATTATATTTTATATTCCCTGACATGAATATCTGCAAACATGCAAAGTATTGTCTCTGAAATTATCACTACTCCTCTGTGAAATTTTCATTTATTTTCAGATTTTATTGTTCGGAGTTGAGGCAGACTAAATATTTTGTCGTCAATGTGTGACTCAAACTTAATAAAATGAGTTGCTCATCGCCAAAGCCAGTTACGGGTCAACAGATCTTAGTGAATTTTGCCACAAAGTAACCCAGAAGGAACTCAGGAAATGTTTCACCCAACTAGTGTCCATTTTTGTGAGAATGCCAAACTGTATGACACATCAAAGCAAAGAGCTCAGTTCACACTTCCTTATTGCAAACAAAATTGCTGAAATAACAGCCTCGTGTCTCCTTTTGCGGGGATCTAGTCACATACATATTAATACACAAAATTTACCGGAGTGGGTCTTGAGCATGCAAAGTCTGTGTCACCCCTTTTCCATGTACTAAGCCGTCTGGCTCTATGACAAGACAGCATTGGGTAATTAAGGTGCATCTCCACATGAACCTACTGAAGTCTAACATCCTTACCACTTTTTCTGTTGTTGCAGGACCCTCAGTAGTGATCAACAGAGCAAATTATTCTACCTAACCCCAACACTAGTAGAATCCGCCGAGACGGTAGTCAGACCAGTAGCGCTTACAAACTATTTTAACTTTACACTGGTCATTCATCAAGTTAGCTTTCCGGAGGACGTCAAAAATATTTTTAAGGTAAGGCTATTTTCTGATTTTGGTGAATTTGGGGAACAAAGATGACAATTTTCTATGTTACCAAAGGAGTTGCTTACCCCACAAATGCGTTTGGTGGTGACACATTTCGCTTTACTTTAAGCAGTTACCAAACAAGATGCCATATGATGTATACAGCCAAGGCTGGTTCCCTGCTGCTACTTGATAAGCAAGACATTTTGTTGAGCATTTTTCGGCAAAGCAGCCTCATATAATTTGCCTCTGTTTATGTCAATTGCAGGTGACTGGTTTCAATGAAGCCCTCATTATCCAACCTCAAACGACGGATTCCTCCCTTTCTATCGTCTTTTCCCCAAACACATCAACAACATCGCTACAGACATTCCTGCGGCTTGGCAGCAATGCTTCGGTGTTCTCCATGGGAATTCACGTCTACACCGGGAAACTAAAGGTACATGCCGAAGCCAGGCAATACGTCTTATGCATATTTATGAGGGGACTTTGACGTCTTATTGGTCAAGTCTTTAAATGTGGATGTCTGGCGAAGATGCCTGCACTTGAAAGCAGGTGGTTGTTGGTTCGAATCCTGCCCACTATGCCCAATGTTTTAGCCTACAGAATATTTGTAGCATACGTTAGAATCCAGAGTGGAACATATTCTTTATAAAATACAGAAGCTGCCAAAAATGTTTTACTGACTACAGCGACCTGAAAAATACAAGTCTCAAACGTCAGAAGGCATAACGCTTCGGCCCTAGCCAACTCTTCCACAGTGCCGGTGAAAGATGGTGCTAGGGTTGACATTTTGGGCCCTCTGACTCTTGAGATTTCAAACTTTCACCAAAATTTTCTATGTCTTTGTGCACTACAAATTATTTTGAAATGCTCTTTAGCAACAATATTATTTTCAAATTCTGTTGGTTCTGACCTGTTTCTTTTTGGTATTGGAAACCACATACATTTTCAAGTTCTTCCAATTACATTTAAGAAGTAGCCAAGTGAATATGTTTTATTTATTCAATGAACTGAGTTTGCCCGTCTGAAAGAATGGTGAAACTTGAATTGCGCATAGAAAGCTTCAACATAGTCCCACACTTGAGTTGCTACTCTCTGTGCAAAGACAGCAGCTGCCCACGTACATGTATACATCTACATTTGTGTCATTAGAAACCTTGGAAATGATATCTGAATAGCTCAATCTAATTCCGTAGGGTGATGAAAAGGTATTCCACATTGTGTTCACTGTGAATCGCTTTGTTCAGGCCACAGTCCTTGTCCTGTGTTCATTTCTCCTGATCAGGTGTTGAATTTCAAGACGTTCACTCGGGTATTGAATTTTACGCTGCCAGACTCCCAAGCAGAAGTCATTTGATACTTAATAAAAATTTCCCATCTTTGTTCTACCCATCCTGTGCTTTTTTTTCCTGCCAAATGCAGTACTCCGTACACAGCGTTGACGATAAAAACATTGACTTGGGTGTCATGAGTGTAGGGGACCATCGCAGCATGCTCATTACTTTAGTCAACACCAACCCCATAGATGTGAGTATGCGCCACGCTGCTGTATTCAGTGATGCCGTAGTGTATTGTCTCAACTGTAGAAAAAAATTGCTCTCTATTATGAATTTGTAGTGTTTTGCAATTGGGCTTGTGTGTTAAAACAACGTAAAATAGATAGATCCTCAAAATTACAGGTTTTTTTTCATGGAATTGTGAAGAAATAATGTGCTGTTGATTTACTACAAAGTGACAGATTTTTAAGAATTAGATTTCTTTAAATGGAATGTTTTTTGTCATTGGTTACATTTTTGACCCAATGTCATGGATTCTGTGTTAGCAAATTCTGTATTTAAGGCCTGAAATTCTGCTAACAGCTGGCAGAGAAACTCGGTGTTAGCTTTGGAAGTTCATGTATAAAAGCCTGTTGCACGGCAAGTGAGCATGTGCTTAAGCCAAAATACCATCTAAGCCCAAAAATGTAATTTTAACCCAGAATGTTATGCTTTGCGACAATTTCTTGCTAGCAGTCAGCAGGGCCTTGAAACTAAATCTGCGCTTCTTTCTTTTCAATCAATTCGATCAATTTCAATCTTTCACATTGTGGGTTTTTTTTTGTGTGCCCAGGTACCCATTCAATCTTTCAGCTGCAATCTGGACGATTGCGAGGCTCAGGTCCTGGGTGTGGAGCCGGGGGAAGGCAAACTCCTCACCAAGCAACACGACGCCTTCAGCATTAGAAGAAAATCGGTGAGTGTGAGCGCTGTGCCCAGGCGAGCCCTACAGGCAGTGACAGAGAGATGCTGGCTGATCCTTGAAGGCCATCTGTGTTCATATCACTGTTTTCTAATGGTCCCCAATACGTTTCATTTGGGGCATTTGTTGTAGGGGCACAGAACTGACTCGGCAGTAAGAAATTGTACTTACCACTGCACATATGATGGAATAGAAGAATTGAGCACGACACAGTGTTCGCAAGCTGTATCGTTGCCAGGTATGAAAAAAAGCAGCCTGTCTTGTTCACATGATCTAAAGGCAGATAATTTCATGTAAGAAAGTAAAGTCCTGTCTTATTCACATGATCTAAAGGCAGATAATTTCATGTGAGAAAGTAAAGTCGACTGGCCTCGTTTCAGACAATGAGTTGAATCACAGGCCACGTGATGTGCAGGTGGTGGGATAATATTGTGTAATTTTCTGAAAACATTCAGTCGCCGCTTAAGAATGATTCTCAAACTTTCTTTAACATGTGGGTCATTCCATGAGGTTGGGGCACAGTTTGTGACGATGTCAAGTGTTAATGAACGGCTATTTCCCTGCATGTGAATTCCAAATTGACATTGTTATGCATATTGCAAGGCCTAATACTGAGGTGTGTGTTATTTTTGCGGAGTAAATGATCTACTCTACAGGTCATGACAGGTGGTAAAAGTTACCGATGTAACAAGGACACCGTCACAAATTGTGCCCCAACCTCATGGAATGATCCATGTGACAGATTTTCCTAAATCACATCACAAGTGATCTTGATGATTTTGCCCCCATTCCTCAGTTGGTGATAAATGAGCACCATTTTGCAGTCTTGAGGCTGGAAGTGAAGGCTCCACTCACCGAGGGGCAGTTCCTGGGTAGCGTGGTGATAGAAACTCCCCATGAGCGTGTGTCCATCTCAGCCAAGCTCCGCACAGTGGAAGGGTGTCTGGGTGTCAAGCCCGAGCATGTCATCTTCAGGCCAGCCTTTCCGGTATGTTGGTCAACCCCTGCCCCCAGATTTTTTTCATGTTTGCTACATGAAGTGCTGAAAATTTTTGGAGGACACCTCAAGACCATTCGTAGCAAACTAAGTACGTTCATAATTCCTTATATGCAAAACATTTTGTGCACATTTTGTCAAAAATGATCATGTGAACTCAGTATTACTCGCTTGAAGAAGAAGTGATGCCCTTGTGAGCAGACAACTCAGCGCCCATTCCTGCGCAGTGACTATACTGTTGTTTGTAGATTCATAAACTTCAGTACTTCATATTGAGCCTGAGATGTGATTGGCTACCTCCTGTTATGAACTACATAACATGACTGTGTTGTTGTTTTGTTTTTGATTTACTTAACACACCAAGAGAGGTACCAAGTAATTACAAACCATGAAGTTGTTTAACAGAGTTTCAGTAGTAGTTTGATATGAAGTCTCAGTCAGGATCACAGCTGTTCAATTAATTTCAACTATGGTTGTGATGTCAGAGTTGGGGTAAATGTAAACGCAATATTTCTGCATTTATGTAGGGCACCACGCAGTCAGTCAGCCTGATGCTGGTTAACAGTTTCAGTCATCGCATGAAGTTAGAAAGCATTCTGCCCGACCCTCCGGACAAGAGGTTCTACTATCGGCTGCCCAAGAAAACACCTGTCGTCGAGATTGAGCCACACAGGAAACAAAAAGTGAGTATCTGCTCTGTTGACAGCTGACAGAGGGCGGTGTTGTCCCTCGTATTAAGAGCAAGATCTGAAAAGAGTGAAATGTGCACACTGTCTTTTGCCACTTCTGTGGATCTTTTTTTTTTTTAGTTTTTGTGCTGTTGCAATTGCACACGAGTGATAGTTGCACAGGTTGACTCTTAACTCCTCTAACTTTCCAACCGACAGGTTGGGAGAATTGTTTTTGATCCCAAGGCAGCGTGCGGAGAGGACGATTCTTGTTACGTAGGATTATCCACTCAATCTCTTGGTAGGCACATGTCTTTTGTTGGTAAATGCTTTTGAGAGTGTGCATTGTTCATAATTTTGATGATGATAAAAATTTAATAGTCCATCTGTAAAAAGCAGCAGCCAGTAGACATAACTTGATATGAATAAGGTTGATCTTTAACCATTTTTTTTTTTTTGGAGCAAGGAGAATTGACCCCAAATGGGAGTGAAACCTGTCACTTGTGAAAGGTTGTGGGGATGACTTAAGGCATTTGGAATCCAACGACACTTGGTCTCATTTTCCTTACATGAACTCCCTCCACTAAGTTAAAAAGAAGATGTTCAAGAAGCCTGGATGTCAGAGTCTTAATTTCATGCTACGCTGCAACTCACTCAACTAAACTAAGCAGCCCCAGGGCAAAATTCCTGGGACCTAATGTTCAGTCGAAGAGAATACTGTTGTTGTTTTTTTTAATCCATAATTTGAGTTTATGATGCTTGCAATCTCACAGTCACTCAAACTAATTGGTAAAATGTTTTGTCACTGCTCGCGAGTGTTCCTATATATGAATCCTCTTGAAGCGCACTTAATAACTCAGCTTTCAGACTGTTGAAATTATTTGAATTGTATGCTATTGTGGTTTACATCTCCAACAGATGGTGAAGTGTGGCTGTCATCTTTGGCCCTCCCTGATGAGACACAGGACGTGGACAAGCTGTTTTACAATCACCTGCACAACAGGTGGCAGAGCTTGGAACAAACAGGGAAAACAATGTAAGTAGCTGGAGAAGAAGGTGTTATCAAAAACCTTGGCACAGTCCCTGCTTTTGGGGTTTTGGGCTTTAACCATAACCTTCCTCAGTCTTGTAAAATTCTTTGGACAGTTTTTGGAGGGTTTTTGAGGACTGAGGCTGTAGCCAAACCTAACGTTGTGTACTTAGAGTTTCTGTGAAATCATCCACACTGCTTCAGGAAACCATTCGCACCGTCTCAATTTAATGACAGGAATTGCTGGAGGATTTCAAAGGATTGAAGCAGTGGTTGCCCCTCCAAGAATTTTTGCTGCATGCATTTTTTCCATGGAAGGAGTGAAGCATTTAAAAAGACTGATGCATCCTATCCAAGAGGGCTTAGGGTTCGGATGAAGCTATATGATGTTAAGGCCTTTGGGTTTGAGGAATGGTTTAATAATATTGGTCTATTCTCTTCACCAGTTACAAACAGTGTTGTGATGTAAGGCCAAAGATTAGTGTATTTTGATTTTCTTTTGACATCTATAGCATTCAAATGATTCATTAGCTAGAATGAAGCATGCACACCTTGCATCCAACATGTTTGCCATGTTACACTGCATGCAAACTTTGCAGCCACAGATAGGCTTTCCTAAGTCATTGCCAGTTGGTTGCAAATACATGGGCACATAACCGTAGCTGAGGACGCCCATTTCAGACACAGCTTAGGAGCTGTACATTGTTAACAGTGTTTGCTGCAGTCAGCCAGGGTAGCTTCTTACAGCGAGCGTGTGTCATCTCAGTGTCGGACTTGCAGGTGCAGGAAACTTTTGTGCATGCATTACATGGGAATCGCGTCACATGGGCAAATCTATGGTTGCCTTTCCACTGTCTTATAATAACCATTCAATGCAAGAGTATACTCCGAGTCTGGCTGAAGGCGTACTCTGACTTACTTGTTGGTTGTGCTTCTGCTGTTAGTGTGCTCAGGAGTGTACTCATGTTAAATTGAGTAACTTGCTGGAACTCAGCCTAGTTAGCAAGTCTTCATCTCATGATTGTTGTTTTTATTCTTCCAGTTTAGCAAATTTGTTCTTTCATTTTCCCCCTTTTTGTCCCAGTTTTAACGCCACACTGAAAGTGAACAGTAATCTGGTCAAAGACAAGGAACTGCCCGTCACAGCGGTGTTGGAGTGGCCAAGACTCATACGCAAGGACAAAATCGAGTTCCCGCTCACGTATATAGAAAATTCCAGTGTAAGTGACCTCGGGGTACTGTTACTCGGGAAATCGAAGAATGAAAATAAACAGCCTTGAGCTCACCTGGATTGATAGCTCAGTGGCCTCGGGAGTTGGTGGTACTGGCTATGTACACTGGCTGAAGATGATATCATTCAGCCCTAGGGCCCTTTGATTCTCGGCACCAATGCAAATTTAAGCCTTAATCCTAGACCTTAGGTGAAAGATCAGGACTGTGGCTTGGCCGAATTTCAACACTGTTCTGTTCAGCTCCGATATGAATATCTCTCTGCATTCATCTGGACATCAAATTCATGGTACATTTTTGCATAAACTTTGAAACTGAAATTTGAATTTGAACCGACCTTGCCGGTTGTCAGTGTATTGATCAATTATTGGGAATTCATGAAAGATTTAAAAATACTGAAGGAAGATTTCCTTGTTTAACATCCAGTTCAAATTAAAATATCTTGTTCAACATTGTCTTATTCTGCAGATATCTGAGGTGCAGATTTTAAACCCGTCAGACACCCTTATTTTAGTTCAGCTTCTGCCCGTAGCGCTTTATCAAGACCCAACATCAGTACTAGATTTTTTGACAGACAGGTAGGTGTTTCACTCTGACACTGCACAAGTGTTTTGCCAAATTATTTCAGAATTCAGAACCAGAGAATTTTCAGGTTTCATTTTGCAGAGGATTAGCATATTGCCTCAAAAACATTTCAAAAATCAAATGCTGTCAAAAAATTCTTTCTGAAATTTCGTAAAGAAATTTATTCCCTCTATTCCCTAAAGTTGTTGCCCGATCCGGAAATGAATTTGTATTAGATTTTTTTGCCGGCATTTCCATATGGTTTTCTTCCTAATTGTTGGCCCAAACATATAGATATCATGCCTGCTTATCAATCGGTTCACTGACACCGTTACCCCCATCAATATTGTTGTTTGCCATAGCAGATATGCCTAATCAGATTGCATGGATGTACATTAAGGAAGAAGACCCTAACCTGATTTGTTTGTTAGTTTATCACCTAAATATTCAATCAGATTTTGTAAATGCGCAGATATCTGTAAGAAAAGGACCCCACCCAAATCTTGTTTGTCCGTTTGTCACCTTTATAAAACTCAACCTGTCTTTCCCTGACCGGTCATTTTCCTGCATCTGTTGTTGGTCCCATCTGTCCAGGTTTGATCCAGAGTTGATAGAAACGGACGACCCCAGTGTCTTCTTCTTAGCTAACAATACAGACAAGGTGAGTTGATGCCATCGCCAAACCTGTAGTGTCAAGTCTAACATTTGAATCGGCGACCAAGTTCACAGGGCTGCCCTGCAGAAAATACTGCTTAGCAATTCTTTTTATGCCTGATTAAAACCAGCTGGTAACCAGTCTTTAGCAGCATACTTTACATGGCCTTTTAGCTGGTGACTACTCTTGCCCAAGCAAATAATTTCTTTCTCACCATGTACGTGTGTACAATGTCATTGGGCTCTGGTGATTTGGACAGGATGAATTTTTCATTTGCAATCCCCCGACCTCTGTGTGCAACAAGAGAAAACGTAAGACTGCTGAAAAAGTGGGAAGGTCACTCACTCGTTCTGCCATCACAAAAATGCCCTGCAGCTGTACCCATGAGGATCTATTAAACACAATCTATAGACTAATCCGATTGGATGCCGTAACTGCGGTGGCACTGGTCTCACAAGGCACATTTTTCAAGTTGACGTGCGCATGCTTGTGGCAAATCATGACGTCCTTTTGGTTGAAGATGCATGTAACACGCCACCAGTCCATGTGTGTTGTGCCACCTGTCCACGAGGGTTGTGCCTCCACGGCAATGGCTCCCAGCTCTGGTTGTCAAATTACACTATACAGGATGTGGTTTGTAAGGGTAAAAATTCATAAAGGTCACTATGGCTTCCCTTGTACGTTTCCAATGTTAATTGCACACTGTAATATCAATTTACTCAATGTCATAGAAGAGAATAGAAAAAGAATAGAAAAGAAAAGAAGAAAAGAATAAAAAAGAATAGAAAAGAGAAACTGCATGACTTACCATGCATTTTCTCTTTTCTAACCAAGAAGCACATAGCCCCTTGACGTTTTGCAAAACTTTTCCGCATAGCGATATTTTTTGTGGCAATTTTGTTTTCTTCACTTGGGGTAGGATTCGTCAGAGAAGTGCCTTAAAAACAGTTCGTGTGGTGTGATAGAGGAGACATTTGGCGTGAGACCAAACAGGACAGCGCTGACGGTTCCCATCAAACCGCACCAGAACGTCACTGTGGCCATCGGCTTTAAACCCAGCGACGGCCGAGAGCGAATATCGCTCATACTCATCAGGTCAGCTGACTAAAATAAGAAATTGCAAATTGATCTTTAAAGTGCGGTTCTTTGGTTTCCTGACCCCATACAACACAATTTATTCCTTGCCCAAAATAAGAGCACAAAAACCTATAGTATGAAGTCGTTTATTCAGCTTTTTTATGATTGAGGAAGAGGTCTGTTTGATGTTTCGTATATCAATTCTCTTGCAAGCAAAGCAAAGGCTTAGATGGGATTCAAACCAGTGGCCAATGAAATGCTGTTGCATTTCTGTACCAACTGAGCAATGCATAGTTTTTTGCAGTGTCCCAGTTTGTCAGTACATATGTGGCCAGAGATGATACCAAAAACATGAACAAAGTTAGTAAAGCTGCTGTTTTTAAAAGTCCTTGTAGTATTATTTACATTTTATGGCAAATCCTCTGAAGTGTTGGAATGCAGAAAATATAGTCTGCTTCTGTATTGCAGAAATTGAGGGCTAGAATTTTGCTGTTAATTTGAGTTGAAGGGAATGATTATGTCTGCTCTGTATTCAGTGCCAAAACAAAATAAAATTTATGTACAAAGTCTCATGAAACATGAAAAAAAAGATAAAAAACTTTCAGATTTCCTCCAAACAAGCATAACATTTGTCCAAGAAATGTAAGCTGTAAACTGTTTCACGCTTGTTTAGAAAGCAGTTCTCTGAAATGCCACTAGAACACCTGTCATCATCTCTCTCACTAATTGGTTTGCATAGGAACAACCTGACCATTCTGGATGCGTTCATGGTCCGGGGGCGCGGGGCAAGGGGGGAGCTGAGGTTCAACAGCAAGATGCCCAGCCCCAACAGCAACCTGCTCTTTGAGCTAAAACCCACGCATCTGGAAGATTGCGATAGTGAGTATCCATCCTTTCCCTTATTGTGCTGGTGCAAGTTCCTTGCCGAGGCCAACAATTTCATTGGAATGTGAGGCGGTAGAGTTGGGATCACGCCCTCGTTATTGGAAACATGTGGCCAAGTGTGCTAAAAATCTACCTATGTATGGCATTCTCATAGTCCTTTTACAGATACTTTGTATGTTTTATGCATACATGTGTCTCAGATTGTAAGTCGAAATACCCCCGTTCTACGTAAGTGATTCATTGACACAGCTTCAGTATATTTTATTTTGACTGTAATGTCCTGTTTTTGACCTGTCAGCTCACATACTCTATTGAAGACATTTGTTGATCCCAGCCCTCATAACACACTGAGAGTGTTTATTCACAAAAATCTCAAGTCCTTCAGAGCCGATGTTATGCATTGTTGTGGCACTTTGCATGGAATTGAAACAAAATTGAACAAAGCAATCTTTCAGTGCCTTGCCTTTCGCTGTCTTTCCCCAGGGTCGTCCCCTAAAGCCAGGGTCCCACCAAACTTTACCGTGAAGCGCTCCTTCACACTGAAAAACACAGGGCAGCTGCCGATTTACATTAAAACCTTTAGCATTAACGGCTATGACTGCAATGGTTACGGCTTCAAAGTGTTGCAGTGTCGGCCCATGGAGCTGGTGCCTAACGAAACCAAGCGATTGGATATAGCGTAAGTTGGACTCAGGACGATATCTCAGCTTGCTGCTCAGTAAAATGATGTTTTGAAGACATGAATGAATTTGAAATACTTCATTTTGGGATAGCTCTCCCAGTGTATGGATTATTCCTCGAGCACCCTCATCAGGAATCTGCATGGTTTCTCCAATGTTCTCCTTTGTAAGGGAAATCAATGACATCTTCTTTGTGTTAACAGTTTCCAGGGATGTCAGGACCCATGTAAAGTAATCCAGTTCATTGCTGACACCTTTAATAGTACATATCATATGTGCAATCTCTCTTCTGATTACAAGTGGTCATTGGCTGATATGCCAACTTTGTACAACAACCGGTTCATTTGTCTCACCTTGTAAGTGGGCGTGGTTTAAACTGCAACAGTGCCCCTAAACAATCTGTATGGTACCTAGGCTCTGTCCTCCTTTATCCTTCTAAATCCTCCCCAAACTCCCTGATAGATTTTTAAGATTTCGATACCTTGAAGGAAGTCCTCACATTATCTTAGAATTTTGAAATGGCCATATTTGCCAGAGAGCCCATTTTCATAGGACCATTGCATAACATTGAATTTTGCCTTTGATTGTGTAAAATGAAGGCTTTTTGAAACCAAAAAGAGTCTGTTATTCATATCGAGTCCAACAGTTCCCAGACCAGGGGATAAAACTACCCAGATAATCTAATGACTTAGGCCCCTTTTTGATGTGTCTTATTAATACTTTTGGACGGTTTTTATGAGGAACTTGACCCTTTCTGGCATTAAACATCTTAAATCCATTATATCTCTGATCAGGTGGAATGATTACAGCAAAGTGGAAGGCTAGTGACCTTGTCAGAACGCTTGCATATTGGTGCCACTGCATCGCATTAATGTTTCTTCTCTTTTCTGACAGTTTTACGCCAGACTTCACCATGTCGCGTATCACGCGCCAGCTCAAGGTGCTGACCTACAACCAGGAGGAGCTGGAGTACACCCTGATAGCTACGCTGCCCCCTCACATGCTGTCCACCTGCGCGGCCGCCCTACCCCGCCCCCAGTGGGAGCACCTGCTCTACATCATCTCCGTCATCCTGATGGGGGTCCTGTTCTTGGGCATCCTGACGGCCTCCTACTTGGAAGCCCTACGCCTAACCGAGCCCATGCCTGCCACCCAGCCTGGCCCTCCCGAGGAGAAAGGGGAGATGGGCAGGCTCAAGTGCTTCGACCTACGCAGCATCGCAGCGGGAATCAAGATTGGAGGGGGTGGGGGTGGGGCCAGTGGGGGAGGGGGAGCAAAGCCCAGGTAAGGGTTCCCTCATAGTTTCTGTCACATCGAGTACTAGTCATAAAAGCTGTATCTTTGTCACACATTGTAGGGCTTTTGACAAATCCAGCAGCAGTTCACAAGACATTTGTAATGGCCCCCTTTAATGGCAGAAAGCACTGTGGTGGGTACCGTGCAGAGTGACTATTGTACAATAGTGGCCATGGTTGGGGGGAGGTGAGCTAATGAACCAGTGATAGCGTTGTCATGGTTAACATTTATCCATTTTATACTTGAATGAAAGTGGTTGATTTTTGTTCATACCACTTTGAGCGTACGTAAAAATAGTGGATGATGGCAATAAGATGTCAATAAGATGTCTTCAAATGGCAATGTGTCTACATATACATGTGCTTGTACAGGAGTGGGGTCACATACCGCAGACCGAGTAGTTATGTGTTGGCAACAAGTGATTGAATCTGGGGCCTGTGGTGGAACTTGCCATGAAGGGCTTTATAGCCTTTGATAACAGGTGACAAATGGCTAGGGTGTCACTAACAAAGCTTGAATACAACTCTCTCCGGAACAGTGCTAGTCATGCGTGCATGCGCATAGTTGGAAGAGTGTGCCAACCAGTGCACCTTCAAATGTTTGCCTCATACATCTTCCTTGAAACCTCAAGCTTGACATTTTACACGCCATGTAGAGTACCACCAGCTGACCTGTCCCATACACAAAGAGTCCAAACATGATAGGTCACTTCATGGTCTGTACTCAACAAGATAGGTCAGTTCATGATGGGACTGGTAATATGTTCTCCTGCAGTTTTTCATTTATTCACCGGTATTGAAACATGGTACTCTTGTTTGTGCTTGTGGACCAATGTTCAGTGTCTGTTTCCCTTATCTTTGTACAGTTCAACAAGTAGTGTTCTTTCTACCCTGGGTGAGAAGTTATCTTTTCGGCCAAAGCGTTCCTCCTCCCCTTCCACGTCTACGAGAGGCAGCACCTCCTCGGTCGCCAACAACACCCGGCACTCCGAACCCAAGAGCCAGTCGGAGAGGCGTCTGTCACCTGACAAGGACAAAGTCAAGGTCAACAGTTGGGCCAACGGCAGCGTCCCAGCCAAGCAGAGCAATGCGTTGAATACATCCAACAGCAGTACGCCCTCCCCCAGCGAGGCGGCCCCCAACCGCAGGTCCACCGGAAAGGCGCGCCGACGCCCGGTCGACTCCGAGTGGAACAGCAACTACGCCAACAACACTAGCAGCAGCAGAGAGAACAGTAACAGACACCCAGAGCATCCATCCCCTCGATCGTTCGTGGAAGACATCTCACCGGCTATGGTCCAGGACCCGCCGGCCCACGAAGCCCAAGACAGCCTAGAGGTAAACACCAGCGTAAATAAATTAGCCCGAAACAGCAAGCGTAAATCCAACCGACCGACTACGACATCCAAGAGAGAGGAGCATGACAAGAAGATGACCGGGAGCAAGCGGAAGGAAGAGATGATGCGGGAGGCAGTGGACCGTGACGACTCCTCCTCAATCTCCACCGAATGCTCCAATCCAGAGTCAGAGCCATCGGACAAAAGCGGCAAGCAGGTAGGAGAAGTTTGCATCTTTGATCAGTTTGGGCATTTGTCTGAATGAGTTCACTGATCGACATCAGAGCAGAAATGGGCTACTGTGGCTCTTAACAGTTGTTGTATTGGTAGTTGTTGAAGGTCTTCTTGAGAAAATTCCTCAGCTTAACTCCTGAGGTTGTTGAAACCTGAAGAGGGCTAAATTATATTGGTTTGGGTCATTTTGTTGAAAATCATACTCACCACCCTTTTAATCACCAACATTAAGAAGCACTTTAAAGTGTACCTCTGGGGTTGCAGAAAACTGAAAAGGCTAACTTATATCGGTTGGGATCACTTTGTTGATGATCATATTCACCACCTTTCCAAAATATCAACATTTAGTAGCTTTCTTTGAAGTTTAATGGTTTACGTGATCTCTGCATCTGACAAAACAAGCTAATATCTTTTATTATTTGCAGACTTTCCACCAAGCTGACAGCGAGCCCTCTTGGCCCTCAAACAAGTCCAAGAGCAAGGCCCTGTCCTCGGGTGGCATGGGTCTGGACGACTTCAAATTTGAGGACGTCAAGAGCCGTACCAAACCCCGTAAAAATGCCAAGATGGACCCTGCATTCTATGGTGACGTGTGCAGGCCCAGGTGACAATATATTCTGTCCTATGATTGGTGTCTACGTATTTTATAAGGAGGAACTTTACCCATTCTGATAACTTTCAACTGTACCGTCTAAGCTTTCATTTGTCTGGAAATGAATTGTTGGCTCAAGTATTCAATATTGAAGAGGTTCTTCTGATGACTTATTAAAAAAAAAACATGAACAGAAGAAGGCTTCACATTCTGTGAAAAAAAATGGTTAGTTTGTGTTTACGATTTTGTTAAATATGTCACTGCAATTCTTTGTCTTTAATTTGGTGTATAAATTTGTTGACTTTATGTAGTACCTTGGAGTTACCCTACGTGCCGCACGGTGAAGCAGGCCGTCGGGTCAAGCAGAACTCCAAGGAGCCAACCTCGCCTCACTCCATTGCTGCCAAGATTGCCGCTAAGGCGACCAAGAAGGCACTCAAGACGGCGAAACCCGAACAAGGTACGTTGACTCCCTCACATCCCAGGGATATACAGGTGGTGTGTGTCATGGGTGAGGGGGGGAAACGGCAAATCTGAATGCTTGCTGTGATCAGTCTTGCATTGCCACAGTCCTCTCATTCAGAGGCAAGAGTTTTGTGCACATTCAGTTGAAAAATCAAGCCATGTTCACATCAATTGACTGTGTCTGGGAGCAGCACTCATCTGTGAGAAGCGTCTGTAGCCACGAACCTTTGACTTTCTTAGGCCCATGTGGTATTTCTAATCATTGCTTTTAGTCATGCATGGCCCATCCTGCAGCATGCATGAAGTAGTGTGCGCATGCCATGTGCCCTTCAGTGATCCTGTTATGATGTGAACACCGCACAATGTCATTTGTGGTACCTAATCTCTTCTTAGCTGCTAGTCCACAATTTTTGGAGTCCAGCTTGTCCATGAAGCAGCTGTCATACGGTACGTGCACGTATTAAGATCCATGTACATCAGTTAAGGTACAGGCACTTATTACATACCAAAGCACGGTACTGACCTGTCAAAACTGCCAGTTTGGCCCTTGAGATGCTGCTAAAATGTTACGTAGAAAGATTTAATGGTAACTACCCGGATAATGAGAGCATTCTTCATGTGATAGGTCGGCATTATTGGCAGTGTGAGTACTGATCCCGGCTCAGTTTGTAAAGGATTGACCATTGGGCACTTCTCTCTTTCCCTTGTCGATTGGCAGCGACCAAATCTATAGATGGTGCCAGTGAGACAGCAAGCACCCCAAGCAGTGAAGTGGACAAGGATTCTCCGCCGCCTCTGTGGGAGCAGGTTAAGCCCATGCCCAGCAGTCAGGGACGGCAGCTGCCAGTGCAAGCCAAGCACCCGGAACAGCCGACCCCAGCTGCCCTTACCACCACAAACACCAGCAACAGCCACCGAGGCAAGGGCTCCAGCTCAAAGAACTCCAGCACCAAGTCCAGTCAGTTCCCTGAAACGGCAGCTGCAGCTACGGCTGCCGCTGCTGCAGCAGGGAATGCCAGCGGCCGGCCAAGCAGCTACAGCAAGGCGGTAGCCGGGGCAGTGCCGGGCACCAACTCCGAGACCAGTCCGGCTCCCGAGGAGAGCACAAAGAAAACTAAACTGGCCAAAACCAAATCCATGCCCGAGAAGACATCAGCTTTCACTGCTGTGGGTGATATCGCTGGTCGTCCAGGTATAAATGTCACAGCCACTCTGAAGCTCCTCCCCAACAACTTACTCACACATACGTCTTTTAAAGTATACCATTTTGTCAGCGATTGAATCATTGCTGACTCTTGGCAGCACCTCATCGGAGCGCACTAAATTTATGTTTAATCTCTAGAAAGTTATCTTTCAGTCATCACTCATTTTTCATGTCAGCAACGTGTGAAAGATTGAAATCTGCCTGGAGAATTTCCTTTAAAGGGCAGCTGCAATCATTTTTTGTGATTACAAACCTCTAAAATGCACCTTTGTGCCTCAGTAATCCTTGTTTTTAACCTTTGCTACATCATTTCAAATTGTAGTTTAATGCCTTTTTTGGTTTTTATGCTAATGAGTATTTCCATATTCATGAGCATAACTGTGGTGTCATCTCAGGAAGAAGCCTCAATGTTACATTAGTTTGTACACAAAAAAGACCTACACTTTTGTAAATTTTCTTGGACTCAGTTTTCTCTTCTTTGCTGATTCCGTGTTCATGTGGATAGCAATAAGAAAGCATCATTCCATCTCTCAGAAATGTTCTCAGTTAGTAAATTCTGGGTTCACAATTTGAACCGAAACACCTATGCACTGAACCATGTATTCCCTAGATCACTTCACAGCAACAGCGCCCTCAGTTGTACAGAAAAGCATGGATAATCTTAATTATTTAAAAGCTCACACTCTTCAGTGTATTTAACCAAATAGGAGTGTAAGAGTTTTCATACAATGAAGAAGAGTACAAAGACGCAGAAAAATTGTGTCTAATAAAAACCGATCGCAGCTACATCTTAAATTCATGGCTGATTCCTTGCTATGTCATCTCGTGCAGATACCAAATCTTTGACTTATTCCTTTGATTTGTCAGAATTCATTTTTTTCTTTTCATAGTCAGTAGGCCGAATGTCTGAACGGTCCGATGACTGAAACCTGATGCATACTTTGAAAAACAGAGTGGCTAGGAACAGAACCAGCACCAAGAGACCTGGTTCGAAAAGTATCAAACAGAACCTGGCCAAAAGTTCCTGGCTATCCGTCCTAAAGTTGACAAGAAGTCGGGGGAGAAATTGATTTTTTCCTCTCTCTGTCTTGCTTGATCCTAGGAGCTATTGGCAGCAAGGGAATCTCCCCAAAGACCAGGACCTGGCCCTGGACTGGCCAATCCGGTCAGCCGGAGATGCTGGACAGTGCCTCTGATACCAGCAGCACTGCATCCACCGGGCCAAGCAGGTAGGAACACCCAACAGGAGTGCACTTCCATACTTCTTGATTATATGGGACGTTCATTGCAGCACCTTGATTAGATCTACATCTTATCTTGGAAGTTTGTACAAGGTGCATTGGTGTGTAGAGTCATGTAAAAGCAGTTAAGAAGTGGACAATGACTGTTACTTGACCTTGCACGGAGTCTTAATGTTTTTTCAAAAGGATGTCTTGACTCACTGGTGATCATTTTTTGTTGGGTAGAATTAAAGTTTTTGATGACTTAAATGTGTTTATAACAGTCAGTCGGTAAAAGCAGGAGCCAGGCTAAAGACTGGATGTGTCACTTTTTATAAAAGGGCACGGTAGTTGTGGACATCACTGCACACATTCTGTTGGTGTCCCTGATGGTACAAATTCTGATTCTGAAATCTTTGCTGCAGACCAACGAGATTTTTAATAGCCTGAGTGTCTGCTGACACGCACGTTCTGAATTTTTATTTTTTTTTTTGAGATTTGTTGTCTGTAATCTCCATAGCCCCGGAATGTTCAGCATGCCCAGTGCCAGCCAGCCTGAGACCAAGAAGCCAATGTCTGCTGACAGCTACTCCAGTGCGTCCTCCAAGTTCCCGTTTGCCAACCATGGTGAGTGGACAGCGGTTTGATGACCATAGTAATGACAACATCAACCATAACCATCACTCTTACCATCTCAATAGGTTATAAAGACACACTTATCTTGAAAACCAATCAAGGCGAAAGCATCATAATTACCCCCCCCCCGATTACCGTGACCATGAAAATTCCTGAAACCACCTTGCCTCCCTAGAGAGTATACAGCTTCATACTGCCATTGTAGATACAAACAACTAATCAAGTTCAATAGTTATTTTTGCCGTTGCTGGTACCAATTTGTGTTCCACAAGAAGCAAACCAGGAAAATTGACTTGCCCAAGGTCACAACGTTAGCAGTCAAAAAACCTTAATAAGAATGCCAAAGGCCTATAAACTCCCTGTGTAACTCCCTGTGCACCAAGCAGTAAAAATCATGGATATTGCTTTCAACAGGGGCCCCTTAGAACCGCCTCTGCTCTGCAGCCACATTCAAGTCTCCTTATCACTCGAAAATGCTTTGGATTGTACTAATTAAAAATTGGTGGAATCACAAATTTTTAGTTGTTTTACTTTCAGGCACCAATTTCCCCGCGACGTTTTGGGATAACAGCGTGAGAGAGCCAAGTATGGACATACCACCCCCTCCCATGTCAGGCTACAACCCACAAGAGGTACAGCAGCCCAAGGCCCAGTCCATCAAAGGTATTTAGTGAGTTTTTTGTTTATTTTACCAGGGTAACTCTATCAGTTACTAAAGAACCGCTACTCCCTAGGAGCCCCAGGAGAGAAGATAGTAAAGAAATGTTCAGCCTTTTTACAGGTGGGAGGAAAACCTCAAATGTATATTCGGAACCAACCCACGGAATCAGGGGGGACCGAGAATCCAATCCACATATTGGGCTGGGTGGGATTCAAACTTAGACCGCCGAGGTAAAAGGCAAGGAAAGTGCCCTTTGCCAACATGACTCTCATGTGCCGCCCGATAAACTCCCGCTTTCCTCAGACTGGCATTTGGGACTTGGTACTTCATCCAAGATAGTAGACTGTGGACTCTGATTGGACGTAGATTGCTGATTGGGAGTCAGCTTCAACCTGGAGGCCTGTGGGATGTTGGAGTTAAGGCTAGGAGCTGGGATTGTTTGAAATTATTCAGATGCAGACTCAATGTATACGACTTGCAATTGTGTCTTGGAGTCAAGACTTGTAGCTCTGTTTTAGGATTGTTTAAATTTTCACGAGCTGGACTTCGTCTTTCGATTTTCCTTCATTCAGTTCTTGAATCAATGTAGTTCAGAATCATCTGCTTGGTAAACAATGTAAACTCTAGATGTAGATGACCAATTTGAGATAATTCTGTGGTATTTTTCCTTCCAAGGAACCATTGGAGATTGGCTTGGACTAGGAGTGGGCATGCCCAGCACCTCCAACAACCTGTGGCAACTCGGACCGACCTACCCTGACGCTGGCTGGTCAACAGAGACTGGGTCCCCAAGATCACCGGGGCAAACAGTGAGCTAGATAGCATTGAAATGATACAGCAGTATTGAAATTCAAACCTAGTTGGGGGCCTGACTATTTTGACCCACATCCCTGTAGTGTTCGTTGTTGTCAGGATGTCAAACCGAATGATACATGAAATTTGGTTTCACAATTTGAATAGAAAAACGTGTAACATGAGCAGTGTCTTCCCCAATGGCATCATGAAAACCATGGACAACAGGAAATGTTCAAAAAAGTGTACTTTTCAAAATACTTATGTCTAAGAGGATGTTGAATATTCTCAGGCATAGAAGAGAAGTACCACGTTGCACAAAATACGTGTGCAAAATAATTCATCGTTTGGAGCCCTTCCAATCACACTTTGGTATGTACTACCCCACTTTGCCCCTTGCAGGCCAACTTCTACCCGGCCACCAGCAATCCATGGAGCTTTGAGGACCTGCCACCGCCCCCCGCTGCCCAGTCGCCCAACTCCAGCTGGAACAGCAGCAGTGAGCTCTTCCCCTCCTCCATCTGGAGCAATCCCAGTAGCACCAACACCTCCCTGCTGGACACCACCACGCCCAGCATGGCCACCCAGGAGTCACCGGTAAGTCTCCTTTCCCCTAGGGCCAGTTTGGGGTCTGTACACCAATCACCCCCCCCCCAAGTGGTGACAGAGATTGGCCCAAGACTGCTACCCTTCGCTGGCTTCTCATACTAAGAATTGACAATTTTGCACCTTTTCTGTATATTCGCACAACTTACTGCACATGGGTTTTCTGGTAGCAGCCGGAGGTGCATTTGCATACCTTCAACTCAACCACATTGTAGCTGGGTCCTTCATGATTCAGCCTTGAAGCTGCAACTAAGCATAATTAAGCCACTCCAACAAATGATTGTTTTCATGTTGTGTACACCACATATCTGCTCACTGCAATGTAACATGTATCTTTGTAAGACAGTCACACCAAACTGTTAATGTTCAAAGTAGGCTAGCTGATTTGTAAAGATAGTTCTTCTTTTAGTTACCCAACCAATTCTGGACATTTTAACAGCTGAAATTATAATTAGGCACTAGTTGTGCAAATGTGCCTGCATTCCCCCCCCCCCCAAAAAAAAGAGAGAGTAAAAGAAAAAATAAATATTTTATTCATTAATAGAAATACATGTGATGATTGACATCCAGTTAAAAAAATATGAGGCTTTTTGTTGTTGTTGTTTCATATGAGTTTCTCAATTCCCCTTGTCTATTTGTGTCTTTCTCAGCAGTACTCTCCCTTCAGCAGCTTCCGCAGTCTGTGGGGAAACCCTTTCTCTGCAATGGGGAACAGCGGATCCTCCTGGAGCCCCGGGAACAACGACCAAAAACAGTAAATTGTTAAGTAGGGGGGAAAAACAGCCATCACCATTGAAACAAGGCATTGTGGTGCCAGTTCTAATTGTGAACATCAAACACCAAAGAAATTCTTGTTCATGGGCTTAGGCTCACAACAACTAATGCAAAATCATTCGATTTAAAGCTTTTTTGTTCAGTTTGATTGCAGCAAGGCTGCGTCCAAAGCAGATACTTTGAGGCTGGGGCTTCAGTTTTGCCATTAGCATGTCACTGGCTAGCCATAGCCACTGTTTCCATTTTGGACACACCCTACTCTACCAGTTTTTGCACAGATGTTTTTAACACTTTTTTAAATCCTGCTGGACGTTTTATCAGTTTAAATCAACTGATTTAAACTTCCACTCTAAATTCTTGGTTTTTCATCCACTTTGGGTGAGCAGATGGTTGCATAAGGTTGAAATATTTAAAATGCCAGAAAACGTTCAAATTCCTTTCAAAGTGCTGAGCGGTAGGGTCATACTGAAACAGACTTTAACAAAAAATTTTTATTGTCAAATAATGATGGATGATGATTTTACGCTTTGATGTTTTTTGTTCACAATAAAACTGTCCCTGCAGTGATGTTATCAAACGTGACACACTTCATTGCAGAAACCGCTGAGTCAGGTTATGTGTGTATGGAACTCACGTTCAGTCCACTCCATGTCAAAACACAGTTTATCAGGAAGCTAACGACAGTATAATCTTTTTACCTTGTTTGTTCCTCTTCACAGAATGGTATTTTTAGGCAGTCGTCAAGGTTTAGTTGGTTTTACCAGGAAAACACTCTTTCCGAATCAAGCAGGAACAGAAATCAATACTATGGGACTGTATATTATTTAACCTGTTTCCCTGTAATGCATTTACAGAAAGAGTACCAGATGCATTGGATAATGATTGTCTTGAGAAAGTTAAAACAGAATGTAGAATGTATGTGTGTCAGTTCCTCAACACAGCCAGCCACATTTCTGAGACTAAAAGTGAAATATAATAATAGATTATTTCCTGCCCAATACAGTCTCCAACACAACTGAAGTTTGTCGACTGATTCTATTTTCCGCACGTTGATTTCAGTTGCAACTTTTAGAAAAAAAGCATTTGAAAGTTAACAAACCTAGAAATAATCTCAGATTACCTGTCGAATATTCAAATGTCGTTTGACTTTCTTGTCCTCACTTCAAATGGAAATAGCTTTATAAGTTTTGTACTTGTATATGTTGGGCTAAAATGTAGAATAGTGTAATTTATATTGCGAAATGAGTTATATTTTTGTATTTTTCTTACTTCAATGGAAGAAGTAATTTCTGGCTTAATTATTGTGTTCGTTGAACCATTTTTGGGCAATATTTGCTGTGCTTTTTTCCTCTTTATTTTATTGCACTTTTACAACAATGTATATTAACTGATTGAGATGTCCCCGTGATAAAACTGCACTTTTGTTTGACTGAATTAGCAAACAGGATTATGTAAATTGGTTTGGGGGAAAGAGGTCTGTGTGTGAATTCATAGTTTATCAAAAAAAGAGTTTCGAAAAATTGATTTAAAAATAGTTGCTTGTTGCTCAACAAGTTTAATTGTTCCTGCTTGATACTGCAAATAGGTAACAGTGTGTCACATTTTGATAGCTTAGTCGTGAAACTAGGCCAAAGCCAAGTTTTCCAATCTGATTACTACATCGACTGCTAGTTGCAGGCAACCATATTTCACCCAAATGCCCTGATGGTGTGTAGGGATGCAAGTTGACTCCGAGGAGTGCATTTCAGAATTCAGTGGCTTGTCAACATCCACTGAACAAAAAGGCTGTGAATTCTGCCATCCCTATGGCTGATACCATTTTACATGGATCCCACAACAAATAGGAGAGGGTCACGATAGGTATAGACTGTGGTTCTTTGGCCTAAGCGATATACATGTATTTATGTGGTGATGGCTGTACCCCTCTGCACTAAATCACATTATGCAGTGGTTTGTCGGGTTGTTAGTTTTCGGTCCTTTTCTTTGTTTCATCAGATGTTGTTTTCATTTTTGGCTTGCTTTTTGGGGATGTTGTGGCTTTTGTGTATGTTTGTTTGTTTGTTTGTTTTTGCCTTTCCTGCCTTTCCATTGTCTTTGATTTTTTTCTGCCTCAACCCTTTTTTTCTGGGCATTTGGCCAAGTGTCTCAGTTCAGTAGGGGTTGTCAAAGTTGTCGTTGAGCCACTGGTGATGGTGAGTTATCATATTACATACGCAACTTGGTCATAGAGGTGTATTGTGCATTGCCACCTCTTACCCTTGTTTTGAAATATTTGTGGTGGGGTGTTAGGTTGTTTTTTGGTAACTCAATGTTTCTGGGTTTGTTTGTTTGTTTGTTTGTTTGTTTTTTGCCCTTTTTCGGGGGGAAAACTTCAATTTGTGTTTTGTGATGTACAGTTGTTTTGTTAGTAAGATCCAGCAAACCACAGGTAATGTGATTTTATGGCCGTGGCTAAGGGGAGATGGAGTACATGTACTTGGTTTTCACCTGTGTGTGCTTCATCGTTTTCCCAGCACGGCACGCTGATCTCTGCCTGCTCATCTTTTCCAGGGCAGAGATGCAGCTTGGATATTTGCTGTTTTTCCTCCTAGTGGGAATAGGCGATTAGCTCAAAATTTCGTGTCGTGGTGAAACAGAAGACGCCATGTTTCCATAAAAACAAAACTACCACATTGGGACAGTCTGTCACGTGGTTTGACCCAGTCCCAGTCGCCCGGGATAGTCAATTCAAACTATACCCCCCCCGTCACGCCTGCGACATAACGGCGTGCATGTACGCATGCTTGTGACATTGTCGTGGCTGTGACATTTCTAAGCAATTCTCGTGACTTTCCTGCGGTAACTTGTGGCAGTGCGACCAGTTGGGAGATGTGTGCGACAGCAATGTCCCGTCTCGTTTTTCCAACTCCGTTGATGCAAACCTGATGGTTTGGCTTGATGATTTATTTCTCGAACTTGACCAAAATTCCGATTGTGAGACTATTCTTCCCGACATGTGACTTCAAAGAGGTCTTTCAGCGGTGGACGCGTACAAGCCTCGTCAAGTGTAGTTCATTCAGAGCCAGTCCCCATCGCTTGTGGTGCGTCGGCTCGTGCGACACACTCACTGACTAGTACCACAGCAGTACTGCAAGGTGTCGCTGGTCCTCTGAAAAAAATCTGACCTGCGCCCTTATTCAAAGCGTGGTATCACAAATTTTCTCCAGGTTCCAGGTGAAAGTGAAACGATCATTTTGGCTGCCCTTCCATGACCTGCCATACTGTAGGGCAGTGTGGTGTTTGGAGTAAACGTATTTTGGAATCGTACAACTTTCTCTTGGAAGGTAAACTGGAGTAAATATGAAGATCCGCTTTGATGGGCGTCAGGAAGACGTCAATCACGCATGTGCTGAAGCATGTCCGTTGCCGACAGTGTTCAATAGGTTTGGTCGTGGAGCTGTGCAGACAGTCCACGACTTGGATGTTAGGATTGTGATTTCATTGTGGAGTCACGCACGGTCATCGGTTCTACTTAACTGAACGAAGAAAACGGTATTATCTTAACGCAGGGTATTGCGCCTGCTGTTTCCATTTACGCTTGCTGTTTAATGATTAAAAAAAAATACACAAAAGCAAAGTGTGTTTCACTTTAATTAGAGAGATGGCTCTGGTGAGATGACATTCAGAGCTAGTGTAGAACTTGTTAGTAGCACGTAATGTTTCGAAGTGACTGATGTTCCACTCTCCCTCTGCGTTATGTTTACGTCGAGGGTGCAGAGATCCGTCGCTGTGGGTTTCGAGTAACCTTGCTGCGATGGATGGGCGCTGTTTGTATCTTGTGTTTAGCGGAAAAACCTCTAGGTTGCTTTTAAAAAAGGAGAACCCTATGGGTGTCTGTTCAAATCGTTCTCCAACTTTCTCTCTCTCTGATTCTGAATTCAAGGGTACTTTTGGGGTGTGGTGGGGCGTTAAAATCCCAAAGCTGAAAAATCGGAGGAAAGTCGTCGCCGAGGGCGCGATCAGCATTGCTTTTTAACCAGCACTAACATTGTTAATCGTTAAATTAACATATTGGTGATCCGTGATAGATGCTGTATCCGATAACCCCAGACGTTGTTGCGATGTTGAATGCAATGTGAAACGCCGCAGGTTTGATACATGACTGAGGAAAAAAAATAAAGTTTTTTTCCAGGTTTTGGAAAAGAAAGAATCGTTGTGCTGTGTCGACTTTTTGTGAACATTAAAGCATGTTCATAATTGGCGCGAAAGCGAATGCAAACGCGAATTTGTGACGTCGGATCAAAATGCATTCGTGAATATACGTAAATGAATTCGTGAATGTTACACGGAGGCGCGCGTGTATGTAATATTCGTACTGCGATTTCGCCAAAATTGAACACATTTTCCACTCGAGCGGAACTATGATGCAAATCTACGTGACGTCAAGTTTGCATCGCTGTTGCATGCACCTAAAGTGTGAATCAGCCTTTGCGCTTTATTTTGTAGGACTACACATACGTATCTAATGCATCCCCATTCCCAAACCTTACTCGGTCTTCAGTCGTTCCCAGGGCAAATGCCTTTCACGAAAGTTTGTGATTGTATGGACGCGTATAAGGGCCACTTGCATTTTTTTCTCGAGTTGCTATCTCTCCGCAGAAGATACTAACCGCGGCGAAATATCTCCCCATCTCGCCGCGGCGACTTAAATAATTGAACGCGTATTTCGTCAAGGCGTGAAATAGATATCCTGCCGCGGGAAAAAGTCAGTAGTTTCGTAAATCCTATTTAGCGCGTCGTCGTTCTCAGATGTATTATCAGGATGGAATGCAGTGAGATCTGGTTTCAGATTGCCTTAAACTTAAGGAGATTTTGTATTTCAACAAAGCTTCGCCCAAGTCAAGTTGGCAAACGGTAGAGTTGCCCGGGCCCCAAATATGAAACGGCCATCACAAGTGGTTGCAAACTCTGTACGCTTTGACGCAAAAAGTGACGCAACTTACATCGCGCAAGTTGTGTGGTGTATGAGGCGCGCAACTGCAGGCCTATACACAGTAAACTGGTTCTACCGCTGGAAATGGTAGGAACGACACGGAAGGGCTGAGAGCCAGTGACCCCCATGGCAACACAATACACTCCGAATTTCGACAACCCCGAAAACGTGAACAATGAAAACAGAAGAAGCATTTTACATCATTAGATAACTCTTCATGCGTAGGTGTTTTTCAATTTCATGTATTTATGACAAGGTCTCAGCGCATGTGTTTTCAGCAGGTCAGTGGGGCCCAATTTCTGTTGGACCATTGCTAGGCACACGAAGCGATGGCCGATCCACGAAGGCAACCTATTTCATCTGATACCCCATCGCGTAAAATCACTTTAAAAATTTTGAATTGTTCTCCAGTTTTTCCACACATGCTGCATATCTTAGTAATTGAAAGAGTGTTTGAAAAAGGATGCCGTGTTATGTTTAAGCTTTTCCGAATCGTTCTTCGTTAGTTTTATCAATTTCTACTTTGGCTCTCTGTCGTTTGGTGGTCGGCCATGATTAATTAAACCCTAACTCTCCTCAATTCTTCACCTGTTGTGGAGGACTGAGGAGTGTTAGGGTTAACCCTACATGTATACACGTACATGTACTCCAGCGCACCCATACATGCGCTACTACGGATAAAATGATTCTCGTGCAAAATACATGTATTCAGTTCGCAATAACTTGAAAATACCACCCATGTTATTACGAGGTCTTTTTACACACGGCACTTTATTTCATGTGTTTTGACAAACAGAACAAATGGTTTTTAAATGGGAATGACATCGTGTTTGTTCTTTTTTTTATCATTTTTTCAGAATTTGTTTCAAAATTTGTGTAACTGGGTTCATCTAATACGAAGGTCTAATGTTGTCTAAAACAGTTTTCAGTCATCGGCTTATCTCCACGAACTTTATTTGTTCGTATTTTGTAAAAATACATTTAAGTCTCCATCCGCAGAAAGAAGTGTCGGGACGGTGTCTGACGTCGCGTCGTCTGCCGCAAAATCTACGATAAAGTGATCGAGTGCGCATGCGCTAACCCTCAACCAAGTCGTGCACAAAATACGGGTCCACGAGCGTGTTGCGAATTGCCACCAATCCACTGATCGAATAGTGACGCGTTTTTACCATGAAGTGGGCCAGATGACCACAATTTAATGTTGGCTTCTTTTGATTTGTACGAGTAGTTGAGGCATTGCTTGATATCAAATTGGAAAGTACTGAACCTGGCGCCAACAAGTGGGAACTCGGAGGGCGTCCCCCCATCCCGGCCTGAAACTATTCTTTCATACCGAAGGAAAGTGAATTATAGGGAGAGATTCTCTATTTTGTTTGTAAAAATGACGTGATGGCACATCCGTCCGCAAGTTGGTTTCTTGACCTTTGATCCTAAAGCCCATCAAGTTCGTGAACTCTGGCCCAGTGGAGGTGCTTGTCAGTGACAGGCACAATGTGCCCAGGAACCATGTTGGCCCTGTTCTATTTCCGTGTAAAGGCATCGCTAGTGTTTATTTATCCACAAATGGCATGCGATCGTCTGTTCGACATTCTGTTGACACGTCCATTCCCATTACACAGCGCTGCTTATGTCGAATCTCTCACAAACCCAAGTGCTTAATAAATGAACGATAGTGTCTGCAAATGCAAATTCCAAACGTCAAGGGATTTTGTACATGTTTTTTTTTTTATAATGTACCTTTTTATACATGTAATTCAGTAAAGAAGATCTTCACATTTTCTTGGGGACGAGGCCTCTGAGGAATCCTGCCCTTGACATTCACGTAAAGTCTGTGCTAATATATGTCCCTTCCACTGTCCAATTGCCGCACTGAATACTCGTCTAGGTTTATACAAAATGTCACAAAGCTTTGTGGCGTTTTCTGTAGCCGTATCTGGCTGTGTTCTCATCTGAAGCGAAGCATTGCCACCCATAAAAAAGAAGCATTTCCTCGATCCATTTGTTCCACAGGGACAGAAAACGTGTTGTGGTTTCCTTTCTTTGGCTAAATTGCGACGGAAATAGATCAGTTAATTTCCTGTATTAGCATAAACAGGGAGAAACCTGGATGCCTCTTCTGCTCAAGTGACGTGGCATTGACAACTTTCACAACTTAAGAACGGTACCTCATGAAACCTTAATATAAGGACAGAGTTACAGTGCTTCTAGCAGGTCGCCCCTCTGCCAAAATGACTCTTTACTGGATTGGACTGGTGTTCGTTCTTGCCGGCGTCGGTAGGTGTGCTCTCCTGTTTGTTCTAGTAATGATGTGTGTGTTACGTTGTGGACAGAATAGGGAGAAAATGGGAAGTGGTTGTGTAATGCCAACGGCGTTCTGTGTCAGTGCTGTTGCTTCATTATAAGGACTAGCCTATCCGCTGTGAGCTGAAGTGCACCCCCAGTCGGCGAAAGTCAGACAGATGGCAGTACAGTTTCCCAACCGGGTTATTGCAAGCGTTTGGCGTGCACGTGAAGACCATCTGGTTCGTAAGTGACTTCGTCACAAAGAAAGGCGGACGCGCCACGATTTGCTGGCTCTCATTGGACAATCGCTGAAGTTACGCGTTAACCTCCGGTTCCATGTAAACAGCGATCAATATTACAGTATGTAATCCTATGTGCAGCGCACGTGTGCAGTGGGCGTGGTTTAAACTGAAGTGACGACACACTGACGAACTGGATACTTCTGGCGGGAATAAATTTGTCACACGTACTCGGCGTGCTCAGCGTTAAACGCGCATACATGCGCGCTTAGCCTGTAGGACATATAATCACACAGGCCTAGACCAGGGGGGACGGAAGGGGTTTGCGCGTGATGTGCGCACAACAGCTGTGAGCCTATTCCATTCGTTAAATGGGGTGCCCATAAGGAACTTTTTCATTTAAAGTTAAAATCTCCAGCGTTTCCATTATCTACAAGGATTATCGAAGAACTTGTTCTATTTTGAATATGCACACCAGCCTTTTTTTCATGGAGATTCTAGAAAAGGATTCCCATTTGAGCTTCTCGATCCAGCTTTGGATCCTGCTTGCGAACACGTTTATAATGCACACGCTGCGCCGTGTGATCTCCTCAAATTAACACAACTAAATTCCATGCACAACGACTCAATTTGTAAAACTCCCAACTTCAACATTTTGTTTTTCTGAAATGTGTGTTTAAAGACCTCACCTTCCGACTGTAGTCGTTTAAAGGAAATCCTTCCCTTCATCATGACTCTTTTTCCACAACGTTATAAAAAACGAGTGATGCGTCCATTCAAATTTTGTCCATTGCTTTTGGGTACGCGTGTAGTCAAAAATTCTTCACGTTCGATCAAAACTTACAGCGCATGGAGATAGAGCACGCATCTCTGACCGTCGCACACAAACGCATATGCGGGCAACGCGTTGCAGGCAAAGGATGCAAGTACAGTTGAACTGGCACGGCACGGTCCTGGAATTGCAGGTAAACAAAGCATCTCTCCCGAAGACAATTTTCATCTCGAAAATTAACTTTTCTGATACAAGTGAAAGTCCCATATAAGATATATATCACACGGGTTTAAACACTCCGAGTCACAGTTAAAATTAACAAATTATCAATGTAACTTATAGCCGGCTGTTCGTCGATCGTGGTCCATCTTCTCGCAGCTAAGAAACAAAGGATGTGCACGCCGTCGCTGCATAATACTGAATGAGAAGAGTTTGAACGTTGGGGGCGCTTGTCGCACAACACCCTTCCGCCCCCCCCTCGGGCCTAGACCACCAGTCTTGTGCGTATAAATTTAAAAAAGGGGGAAAGCAGTGGGCGAAACGATGAATGGCACGGTGATATTCACGAGATAATCCATGCTCTGCCTCCTCCTAGAATCTGCCGGAAAGAAAAAAAAAGAGTTTGTTTCCTAAGCTGCGAAATGCTGCTTTTTAAGGCCGGACACGAGAGTGGTAGCCTCTTGCGCACGTGCGTAAAAAGACTGCTCGACACATCAATTTAGATGCGCGTCACATGGCGCTCGTGCGGAGTCCAGTCGGAGCGGATTAGTCAAGGCGCCCGTGGCACCTTGATGCTGCAGGTGGCTGGTCATTACCATCTCGTAGTGGAGCCAGTCAACAAGTTAATACAAGGCCAACTTCGTTCCCATGGATACGATCTTGCCGCGCCATGTTGGTTCCCACAATGCCTTGCGCTAGTGAAGCAACGTGCACGCAGCCTATGGAGTCGAGGATGATGATACAAGGCAAAGCGTGTGGGGCGAATACAGTTATTAACCACTTCCTTCCGGGTGCTTTTAAAAACGCAGTGCATAGATACGGGCATTTTTTCAAGATTTCCCGTTTTCAAAATTCTTCAAAAATCATAATTTCATTTAATGGACGTTTACCGCCGCTCTGTAAAGAGAGCCTAGACTTGTACCTCACGTGTTATGTAATCTCCCTTGTTCCCAGTGAATGCAGTGGCGTCTTTTCAAATGTGTGCAGCGGTACCCGGCTGCTTTGCTCATTAATGGGAGCAGGCGAGCACTTTTGTCCGCAGTGCTAATCCCCGGGTGTGCTATGCTGAAAACAGTGGTATACTGTTTCAAAACAATGACGGATTACCTCCGATAAATGTAAGCTGAAAAATGATGGCAATTCCCAGCAACGGGTCTTTTGTTCCGAGTATGGTCTTTTGTTACAGGACCCAGCTCTTTTGTTCGGGTGCGACTCAGCTGGTTTCGTGTATAAAGCCTATGTGCCTGAAACTGGGCTCCCCAGCAACATATTTAAGATACTTCCACTTTGTGCACTTTATTTCAGCGCCCACGGGCTCGCGCTAAACTCTTCCATGACAATTAGCTGTCGTCATTCCTCGCGACCGGAAGTGTTGACCCAATTATCCAACTGGTATCAACGTCCTCTTGAGCGTTAATTAGTTTGAGCTGATGCGAGTAATTCTTATTTGCCGATATCCATCAGTGGGCAGTGCCTTAGGGCCTATGCATGGCATTTCTCTACCAAATAGATAGAGAAATGTGAAGAAAAAACACAAGTCTTCTCCACGAGATGGTACAGGCTCTTGTTGCTTCGCCACGTTCACTGGCCTTCGTGTTTACTTGTGGTAACGCTCTGAGCCGTGCCACGAGCGCCTTGACTGAAGTTTACGTGAGTGTTCAAGTGCATGTACAGCATCGTGGATCTGTGAACAGGTTGATTACAAGTCAATTCCACGTAATCCGAATTCAGCTACAGGTATTGTCAGGTTTATAATATTAGAGTAAAGAGGGAATAAACAATTATACAATCGAGTTGAAAATATCAAACAAATCGTATCTAACCAAGGCTAGATTCACATTTCGTTTTTAGATAAAGAAAATGGAAAACGGAGAATTCTTAATTTGGGTGGAGTAGTCGATTATTAAATGTACATAGACCTAATAATGCATGCTAACGTATAAGACTGAGCTTGGGGTTGGCCTTAAACCATACATGTGTGAATAATCATATTAGCCAACTGTGTAATGACAGTAACGTACAAGTTCATCTAACGGATTGCTGCTGCACTTATACAAAGCACCCAAAATCGTCAAGGACTGACACTTCCACCGAAACACTGAACGGTGCCATGCATGTTCAGTGTTTCCTTCAGGTGCCTCTACGTGCCGTTTAATCTGACACAAATCACAAGAAATTCTAAGAAACTATATACAAATAGTAAACTTAAGTGTTTGTACATGATTATCAATACTATCGACTAATTACTTTATGAACATAAATGGACTTGGCTCATAGTCAAATCATCTGCATAACAACCCCAAACGAATAATACAAAAATTGATACACGCGTAGGCCTATATGCAGAAAAAATTATCAAACTTGCGACTTTGTAGAGCTTAAGTGCTCTTAACAGCAAAAAGCTGATGATTGCGCATGTAGATGTGGACGCATCGAACGACTCGACTGCAGTGAGGTGGCTTAACACACAAGCATCTCACTACTAAAATACGTTGAACTTCAGAAAGTTAGGTCAAGCCAGCCTGCTCAATTATTACAATAAAGAAATTTATGGCAGGTCAGTTGCAAATCAGAAAACGTAAAGGGTAATTAAAGTAAAAGTGCCGACAAACAACTTGTGGGAGCCTGTGTTACATATATTATATACTTTCCACTGTTGGTTTTGTCTGTTGAAGTTCAAGTGGAGGGACTTGTGTGTCAGCAACGACTTGGGATGGAGGACGGTAGCATTCCCGACTCGAGAATCACAGCCTCCACTATTTTCCACGAGCGACCGAACGCAGTCGACAACTGCCGACCGGAAAACGGCCGGCTGAACAACCCGGGAGGCGGCCGGATAGTGGGTGGTTGGTGTCCAGCCCGGAATGACAAGGCTGCTCCGTGGTTTCAGGTCGATTTGGGCGAGCTGCTACTGGTGGAAGGGGTCATCATGCAGGGCGCCGTGGATCCCCTGGGTGCATGGAACGAGAGAGTCACCGAGTATCAAGTGCAGTACAGTGATGACGGGGTTGCGTGGCTCTATGTGACCGGTAGTGAAGATCCCGGGACTGTGCCGAAGGTAAACGGTCAAGTGATGTTATGTTATTTCCAAACAATGGCATAAGATTTTCAAAAACTTCTTTTGTTAAGCATAAGCACAGCCATTTTGGGCTGCACAAGATGCGTTGGCAAAAGTTGCAGTTTCGTCTGTTACCTCAGATGACAGTTCGCATGACAAGAAATTCTTTAAAAGGAGCCAGGGACGCGTTATCACTACTGTAGTATACATTTCCTATTATCCAAAGTTTTTAAAGTTCAGTAAGAAAAGGCCCAACCAAATTCAATTTTTAGAAAGTTTCTTTCGATTTCGTTATTCAAGCAGTTTTTAAATTCAAATTGTTGTTTTGACCAGTGTCAGAAACGATGGGAAGAATTCAATTTAATTAAGCAGCAAACAATTCCAACGTGCTTCAGGAAAATCTGCATCCATGGTATATTTGCATGTATAGAAAAGTGGCTGTTACCGAAAATGGTAAATTACCTCTAAATTGTAAAAGGAACTAACAAAGGTTTTCATCCAGTAGACGGAAATGATAAGTAGAAAGAATGAATGTACTTGGAAATCACTGACCCTTTTAGTGGCTTTGCCATAGTTTGTTTCTTTTGTTGAAACAATGAACCTTTTGTTTTGTACGCGGTTTCATGATCTGATGTCTTTTGTGGATTTGAAACGATTCTTTTTTCTTCTTCTCATCTTGACAGACATTTGAAGGCAACGTCGACCTAACCACACCTGTTACCAGCAATTTTGACCGGCCGATTCAAGCTCGTTACATCCGCATCAGACCCACCGCCTACTTCAACTGGCCCTCGATGCGGATTGAGCTCATCGGCTGCAAAGCCAAAGAAGGAAAGTCTTATCCCTCTAAACAGTTTTGTGTGTTTTTTTCAGTGACGTCATACCAGATCGCTTTTTGTGTTTTCTTACTCATTGGTTAGGCCAAAATGTCTCCGGTTTCTGGTCAGGGTTATTTCCAAAACTAGCGCGGCAACGCAGCTTTTTCCCCCTCACTTTTATTTTTTAAATGATGTACGTATAACGCGTGATGTCCATCGCCATGCACTGCATGCCTACGTACCGCCACTCCCAACACTGAAACAGACAGGACCCCTCACTATTTACAGTTTAAAAGCGTTTTCAGCTTGTATTAGTACAATGGAGATAAGACCACCTGGTTTGTCTGGATTATGTAAATGTAGAAATGACGTCATTTGAAAAAGGTCAGTGCCCGAGTAAATGTATGGGAGATAGGGGACTCCTTTACTGTAGGCCTTACATATTACTCAACCGTACCCCCATCTAAAACACGTTTAATTTACAGAGTAGTAGGATTCCAGTCGTTCAAGCAAGTTTGGCAGCTTTTGGACATCGTATTATACCAAATAAAAAACTCTTATTTTGCCGACGCGCAGGTCCACGGCGACGCGCGCGCTGACCAGAAACTGGAGACTTTTTTGGAAGGGGGGGGGGCTTAAACGAAGTCCATTCTATAAGAATTCCATAAGGTTTCTAGTTTGTAGGTTGGGCTGGTTTTGACGAAATGCTACATAATGACGTGTTCAAGTACCAGCTGGTTGTTCATGTGTGAAGGTTGAACACAAGTCACACGTATAATCCCAAATTTAGTCACTTATCAGGTTCAAATATTATAGGACCTGCAAAGTTAACATTTAATCCATTTAACATTAAATAGCATTTAATAACATTTTAATAACATTTAATAGTAAGAGGGAATGAACGATCGAGTTAAAATGTCAACAAATCGTTTCAAATCAACATTTAGATTAGTTTCACATTTCGTTTTTGAACGAGCAAAACGGAAAACGAAGAATTCTTAAATGAGCCGGGGTGGAGTAGACGCGTGTTAAAAGTACATCGTATATGTTGAAATCAGCAACGAATTTGGAGTCTACAAACTCCTTACATGTGCAAATTATCATACAGGCCAACTGTAAAATCACAATAACTGACAGTTCATATTCGATTACATCACTTTCCACTGTTGGTTTTTGTCTGTTTAAATTTAAGCGGTAGGACGGATGTGTTCGAAACGACTTGGGATGGAGGACGGTAGCATTCCCGACACCAGAATCACAGCTTCCACTATTTTCCACGAGCGACCGGACGCACCCGATAACTGCCGACCGGAAAACGGCCGGCTGAACAACCCGGGAGGCGGCCGGATAGTGGGTGGTTGGTGTCCAGCCCGGAATGACAAGGCTGCTCCGTGGTTTCAGGTCGATTTGGGCGGGCTGCTACTGGTGGAAGGGATCATCATGCAGGGCGCCGTGGATCCCCTGGGTGCATGGAACGAGAGAGTCACCGAGTATCAAGTGCAGTACAGTGGTGACGGGGTTGCGTGGCTCTATGTGACCGGTAGTGAAGATCCCGGGACTGTGCCGAAGGTAAACGGTCAAGTGATGTGATGTTAGGCCTATTTTCCAAAAGGTGGTGTTAGCACTTTTTGCCTTAAATCAAAACTTAATGCATAAAGAGAAACCTTTGAACATAAAAAATTCCAAATTAATTCAACGCGCGTCGATGCATAAACATGAAGGCTTTTTGGTTGAATTTAGCCAGAACCATATAATGAACACAATATTTAATATGTAGAGAGAATGTAGTTTTTATTTTACTTGGTTGTGAACGAGTCGAACTATACAGATGATGGCAAATTACCTCTCAAGCCGTAAAAGGAATCCAACAACGGTTTTTATAGAGTGGACGGAAATGACAAGCAGAACAAATGGAATTACATGTACTTGAAAAACACTGACCCTTTTACTGGCTTTGCCATTGTTTGTTTCTCTTTTTAAAACAATGAACCTTTTGTTTACTGCGAATTTTCATTATGTCATTTCTTTGGTGGATTTTTAAAGATTCTGTTTTCTTCTCATTTTGACAGACATTTGAAGGCAACGTCGACCTAACCACACCTGTTACCAGCAGTTTTGACCGGCCGATTCAAGCTCGTTACATCCGCATCAGACCCACCGCCTACTTCAACTGGCCCTCGATGCGGATTGAGCTCATTGGCTGCAAAGGCAAAGCAAAATCTTATCCCTCTAGACTGTTTTGTGTTGTTTTTTTTAGTGACAGCATACACGTACCAGATCGCTTTTGTAGGTTCTTGCTCAGTGGTGAAACGAGGATTTCCAAGCATTTCGAAGACACTATTTTGTAGCTGTATTTAATGTAGGCCTAGTTTAAAGATTGGGCTGGTTGCCCTGCAGAAAACAACGGCAGGAACTTTCAGATGGTTTGCACAAAATTTGATTGGGCTTTAGGAGTTTTGTTGGTCGGGTGAAACAGGCAAATAGGTATTCAGTGCTTGATTTTAAAGAGGGAGCACAGATTATGTAGGCCTACTACCCTGTATTTCAAGTGTTTTTTACCTCAAATTGAATTTGAGAGCTCGCGGAGTGATCTTAATTTTGACATGTAACTACCGTTCGAAACAATTTATGACAGAGAAAAAAGGTAGGCCCCACAGATAATTATAGAATCTTTATACATCTCAACTCCAACAATTCATTAAAATCTTTTTCCTGTAAGGTACGCACCATCTTGAATTGCGTCCTTGAAATATTCAACTTTCAGGTTATAGTTGGAAAGAGAAATTTCGAGTGTGAACACTTTGATTCCCGAAAAATCCATCGATTGGAACGCTGCTTAGTCGCACTTCCAGTCACATTTCTTTCTTTCAAATGCGTTCACGCAAACATGTGCGCTCGTCACTTGGATATCTTAACTGGATGTACAAGGCTAGAAACCATCTAGCTCTGTTTTATTAAATGACCGCAGTCTTTACTGTCTTCCACTGTGTTTACAAGGAAATGACAACCTGCCTGCCATGCTGAGGATGCGTCTGCCGCAGTGGCGTACCGCAGGGGGGGGGGTCATGCGGGAGGCAAGAAAAACGGCCGCGCCGTGTCTCAGCGCAGCCGAGGCCGGGCTGCCGCCGCTGCCGGCTAGCCAGCCACGCGTGCGACTTACGTTTTCGTTTTTTTGCCGTTTCTCACATTTTGCAAATGAAGGAAACCAGTCCAGGGAGACTTAATAGACTCGTAAATATACCGTAAGTACCGTTCACACCTCACGAATCGTGTGGTACGTCTCTCCGTTTTTTTCTTTTACGGTTGTGTACAGTCCATGTTGGTTATTATTTCACTGGTCCTTTGGTACCCGTAACTGTAAAAAAACAAAAACCCAAGAACTGCTGCATGGCCCACCCAGCAAGGACACTAATCCAGCCCCCCCCAAAAAAATTATTAATTTCGAGGACTTGAGAAAGTTTAGGTTTAATGACCACTCTTTCGCTTGATGCTTACACTTGGAAATTGCGCATACCCTAACGTTGGGCACTTGGAACTTTTGCGTCTGACGTTTGTGTATGGGGTAATATTTTACTTCAAACTCCAAATATTCTGATTCATAAGTGTCGATTTCATGTATCGACGACAAAGTTCTGATGAAATTTTATTTTATTATAGCCCGATTTTCTGATTTTTTTTTCGAAGTGCAAAATGAACTCTTTTAAATTCACCCTCAATTTTTGTTCACAATTTTCATTTAGAAAAGTGAGTGGAGGTATAATGATTTACAAGAATTTACCAATTTAAAACTTGTGAAATTTTGTGTGGGATTTTCTTAGATTTTTTCAAGGGCGCCAGGTTAGGGAATTGTAAAAGTATCACGTGTATTCATTGCTGGAAATGCACGTACTTTAATCAAGCTTCCAAATGGCTGCGTTAAATGAGAACAAACTCTGTTTTGTCATGGTTATTCCGTAACTGTGTTGGTTTCCTTCCACACAGATCTTTGAAATATACAAAGTAAAAAATCCAAGAAATTGATTTTTTGGCGATTCCGTTGTGATGTACACCTTTGATGTCAGACCGTGACTTAAACGGGCGGCTTTCCTTTATCAGGAATCCATAGCGGTATTTATATTTGAAGCGATGGGTAGCTGTCGTGGCTTAATCGGATAGCTTGTCGTTGGCCAGGCTGCTGAAACAGGAAAGCTGCGCGCTGATTCCCAACAGCTCGACTGGAATGTGCGGCGGAACTCAACCACTCGCATCCACTTCAAAACAATCTTTTAAACGAGAATCTGCTGCTCGTGGAGTGGAAATGTGAAAGACAGTGGCTTCATTTCAAAAAATGAATGTGGTTTTCGCGGAGGTCAGGGCCCGTTTTCAAACACTCTGTTTCGTCTCTATTTCAGGCTTTGTTGAAATCGATCTATCGGTGTCGATGTATAGTGTTCAAATTAAAATTACGAAAGTACTCAGATACTAAGTTCGGTATTCCATGGGTACTGTCTGATTTGTTACTGAACTTAAACTGCCAAGTCAGGGGGTTAAAATCAGGCGAAGCCTGAGATAGAGACGGGCCCTGTATTGAACCTCCTCCCCAAAACAGCCCCACATCGAAGACGGAGAATCGCACATGTGTATGATGTCAATGGAAACAATTACTGGTGACAGATGTCGACAAACTGTTTGGGTGATACTGTATGCTTGCGGTTGTTCAACTTGGATTATGATCATGTAACGTGATCATAAATAAGTCCAGGATGTTTCGCTGAAGAAACTGAATCTGTCGCGCTTTGATATTTGAATGGAATTCTGGTCTCCATCGACATGTGTACTTGCGGGAATCTTCTTTCTGGGGTCTTATTACTTAACAGTCGTTGGAGAAAACAACACCATTGTTGATGGGATTTTGCGGCTTCACCTGTGCAGCGATCGAGGAAGCGGAGTCATTTTGAATTGTAGTCTCTTCCATCTGTTTGTACGTTGCGGTGAACCGACGTGGAAGGTGAAGCGACAGAAAGCTAGCACACGACTCGGTTTTCCCCATATATTTCCTGTTGCATGTATTTTGATATGGTGTTGACAGTCAAGTCACTCACGCACATAACTGGGTGAGTTGGTGAGGTGACGCTGTGTGTATAGAAGTTGACCTAGCTTGTCGTCCATGAACTTTTTTCTGCTTAAGTGTTGCGCGTATACAGAGCCCATTCCACAATTTTGGAGCACCAACATGGAGAGTGCACCCACGTATTTAGGCCACAAATATGTCCGTCGAGCTCATTAATAAAAGTTATTGACTCAAAATAATTTATATTAGAGGGTCCTGAGAGCCGTAGAACTGGAGAATTGAAGAAACATGAGACTGAACCTCTGGGCCGGACTCAGGGCTTCCAATTCTGAGCAATTTGGATGCAATCAGGTTTGAAAGTGGCACTATTTGAGCCATTTTGCCGAGGGAGGGTTTTTCAAAATGGCTACTTTTCTGGACAGGGACATTTTCTGCATTTTAGAGGTGGTCTGCTTCTGGTGAAAATTTCACAAAAATTCATTGGTCAACCCCCCGAAAATTGAAAGGAAAATGAATGAAAGAGGACATGTGGAAC